AGGTGCTGATCTTTGGGGTCGCGTAAAATCAGCAAACGCAACTGGATACACGAACGGGAGCGGAAGGTTACGGAAATGCACGGCCGCTCAGGTTACTAGGTTGAGCTAGAGAGGGTCGGAGTAAGCGTCAGGAAAATAATGCGAGATACAGAGAGTAACGGATCGAGAACGTAGCAGAACGAATCTGAAGTATCAAATCGAAATCCCTTCACCAATTAATAAATTGGGAGACTCACCGGAGCTGCTGCAGCTAATCCGTGGAGGCCGAGACCTGTATCCAAAGGACACTGGTGGACACTGCACTAAGGCACAGCACTACACCTCCGGAACACTCACAGGAATTCATAGAATTGCCTGGATATCGCGAGAACAACGCGAGAACTATACGAATCGAGAACTCGCGATACCGTAGCGAAACACGGCAAGAAAAACTATCAACAGATAGCACGGGAGCGCGAGCCAGCCCGTGACACCTCGGTCGGTGCCCCGAGACAGACTGCTTTGACAATAGACAAATCCGAGAACTAATCATTCTGATTGGTCGAGAGCCTTTTAACCGATAACTCTTCTATCTCCTTCGAGTCGTCCCTTTAAACGGATCGGTACGTAACTTCTGGAGATCCTCCACGGCCGCTTCCCCAGGGCATCGGGCGACACCACATCCTTAACTCGGGTAGAAGCTTCCTCTCCTGCCCTTAACCGTGTCACAACTATCTCCGCCCGCTCTACAGCCCTTCGCCCATCTCCAGCGGGGCGCCGGTGTTTCACCCGGGCTTCTGCCGGTCCGTGGAGACGTCTCCGTCGGGTACTCTCCTCTGCCGAGCAAGTAGGTACGTCGAGACTATCCCCTCACGGCAGATTCGAATACCTCGACCTCAACTAAACAATAACGACATCTTACGAGAGCATTGACATAACTATACGAATCAACCCGAGAGCGTAGCTTCTGAGCAGGGTGGCGACCTGAAGGTAACCAGAAGTCGAGAACGTTATCTGTATCGGTAACCGGAGCCGCCTTGGGGCCGTGATTCGAAAAATTACGTCACAATACATACCAGATCACCAGTGTTATCAAAACCATTAAAATTGTCCTTGCATAAGCAACGTAACACTATTCAATTACAATTTTAAAAGAAGGAACATTAAATCGACAAAGTATTACCTGTATTACCTGTAAATATAAATTAAATTAGAGGGTTCATAAACATCGTCTAATACCTTTAATCCAAGCAAAGCGACAACACTCGAAGTGTAAATAAAATCACGCGAGTTCCATAGAGACTGCCTTAAAGTCCTTTACCCGCGATTTTCGTTTTGCATTAAACGCCTTGAGGATTTAAAAGTATCGCTACATAAAAACATACAGCAACATAATAAACTTGTATTTCAGTGGAAACCACCTCGAGAGACTCGGCATCCCCTACGTAGCTGGTAAACCCTGTAGCGGCTGCAAGGATCATTGTCGGCTTGGTAAACTCTGCAAGAACGCCTGTCCCTGGGCAGATCTCTGGGCAAACTGTCGTCAGCTGTATGAGACGTGGCCGACATGGCTATGCGATAGTGACACGCAGCAGGGTCGTGAGCGACGGCAATTCTGTCGCGCAACTTGTAAATGTCGCGACAGGATTGTTTGAGGAGTTGACACTCCCTGAAGTCACTTATGGGAGGAGACAAGAAGGCACTGTCTACTCTGCTAACGTATATGGGATTCCCATCATTTTGGAAGGACCAGGAAGATGTCATCGAACGAACGGGATTCATTGGGACGCGTCTGGACTTATTTTCTTCCTTTTTCTTTTTTATATCCCTACGTCAGGGCTCGTATTTATGCATGCTGTGTATATAATTAAGTAATTAAGTGTAAAATCGAGTGTAGACCTTACCTATGCGTTAATCATATGTGAATACGCGACTCACCCTCAGGATGATCATTGTGTTCCTCCTTCGCGTCTCTGTATGTCCCTGCTAAGGATAACCTATGTCGTAGGAGATACGTACTGGCTAAATAGAGTGACATATGTATCTTGGGTATCTATGGTACGTATGTGACGTATCCCCATGTGTGTCAGGATGTCCTAAACATTTACTGTGTAAATTCATATAAGCACTGGAGAACGTCTCGACGATTCCTTTCACTTGGATATCACCTGATGAGTCGTTTACATTTGGGAAACGGATGCTTACGATGTGATCAGTCAGTGACAGGAGGGATGGATGTTAAAGGTGGATGGATATTTGGAGAATTTTCGTAACAGGATACCCAGGGATCGTTGAGAGTATCCAAAGCGTGAAAGAAAGAGAAAAAAAAAACATATTTATTCGTTAGTCACTAGAATTCTCAATTAAGACTCCTAGTCCTAAGAGATCCTAGAACTCTATGGTCATCTGAATAAATAATTGCAAGTCAACGTAGTTTGTTTTGTAGATACTGGAAATTATACCTATGGCTAAACTACCCGCTCATCCTACCAAGGATCCTTGCACCATCTTCTTCATACCTAGGATTTTGTTATTCCAGGCGTATCCGTGTCCCTTGGGATGACACTGAAGGTAGAGGAGAATGAAAACGGAGACTGGGCTAAGACGTGGGAGTAGAAGGTGGTAGACTTCATGTTGGAAAGAGATGGTGAGTGATAAAGAAAAATGATAAGACAAAAAATTGGGAAAGAACAGGAACAGAGACACAAACAAGAATATCTCCTGGTTCAACGGATAATCCGTACAGGATTTCACATAAAATCCCAGATCAACTAAGCTACTCCCATTTGCAATCCTTGTAGGTTGGTTGGGAATACCGAAACAGGATCAACCCAAATGCTAAAACTATGAAGCAAGGATGATAGTAGGTATAGACCAGAGACTTACAGGGTTCTGCAGAGTTGAAGGAGTGTGTGATGAGTATAAGAACCTGGATGGATAAATATCTATGTATCTTTTCTGTGAAGAAGCAAGTATTAAACCAATATTTGGCATGAGTAGAACACAATATTACAAACGTAAACAAAGATGAGTAAAGAAAAATAGAGTAGCAGAAACCACGTGACAAGAGTATCCTCACAGTCCTTGTCAGACTTATTGAATTATCTGATTAAAGAAAATGAAGATATAAATAAAATGAACATCACCCTAATAACAAGAGATATTATAACGTGGTATAATAACATCAAAGTTAATTAACTTGCAGGCGCTTATAATGTAAAATATCAATGACAATGAACTGAATGTTAACGATTGTATCGTATAATATAATGAAATATTTATAACCGGTATAACAAGCTCATGAGAATAATGACCATGTTCATCATTTTGCTTATCTTATATGGATTTGTTCCTGAAACAAGAACAACAAGTGTAACTGGTGGTTATTTTATTATATTCAAGAGTAAACATTCCACCTGAAGTTAGTTCTACCATGAAGCAAAGTTAACTTCAGGTTATACCTTTGTTCCGTATTAAGTCTAATAGCGTAGCGAGGATGATGTTTCTCAGCAAAACAATGTCGTCATCACCGCAGAGTAAAATGCTCCGTGGTCCATTCGCTGCTCCTGAAACAATTGCTTTGAGAAGTGGCGCGTGGAATGAAATGGAGACCCGGGGAATGGGCTAGTTGTCCACTCTGCGGCCAGCTAGGTGGCCCGATATAGGTTAGGAAGACGAGGGAGCTACGTCTGGCACGTAACGTAGTAGGTAACCTGGCACGTAACGTAGCACGTTACCAGCTAGAACGGGTCTTAAAAGTTTTGTTACCAGAACGAAGCAGCGCTTGGTGAAACGACGCCTCAGCCAGCCAACCAATACAAGCAGTCAGCCATCCAGTCCAGCCACCTCCTGGGCTCCCTCTTCGTAAATTCAAGCGAAAGCTGTGGATCAGACAAGGAGGAAAGGATATGCGTGGCCATTGGAAGACTGGAGGATGTTTCTAGGTTACCTTAGGACCTTTGCTAAGGGAGGATGACGATGGATGACGATCATCATGGCGGTCATCTACGGACTACGGTGCTGCCACCATATCTTGAATATTGAACCTACGGTCGTGAAGGGTCAGAAGATTAACTACGGGACTCTCGAGGTCGATAATAATGATCCCACGTCTTTACAACCCCTTTGGGTAATTTATTTTAAATACAGAGATGTTATGCATTATATCAACCCTATGTAATTTCATCCCCGTCCCTATTTACTTCTCTTGGAATACACTTTCTCACCGCCACACGAAATCCCAGGGGGGTCGACCCGTGAAATATTAGTGATTATTTTTTTGAGGGATTTTTCCCTTTTTTTTTTTTTACATTTTCGGCACTGTGCTGGGAATATTTTTGAAAACCAATTTTACCTCCATGCCACCCTCACGACAGTTTTACCACGTGTCTTTTCGCACTCACATTTTTCGCATTTTACATTATTCCCAAAAAGCATTTTCCAGGTCAAAGGAAACAGAACAACAATGCCGAGCAATACCTTTGAAGAAAATCTTACCGTCACCACCCTCTGGAATTTTCATTTGCCTAAAAGAAAAGGATGAACAGCGCCGGGATATGGTGACTCTCCTGACTCTCGTTTTCTTAACGTCCCCCACGTGTCTCACTCTCTTTCCCTTTTTCTTTCTGCTTCATTTTTATTGGTCGCTACCCTCCTTTACGTCACGGTGCGCATACATTATGCATACGGTTACGTAACACGTGAGAAGACGAACGCGTCCCCGTGGCCTCGAAGACTCAACCATTCCTTCTTCGTTTCATTTCGATCATCTTTTTTCTTTTTTCTTTTCATCCCCTCCCTTTCAATGAAGGCGATAAGCGACTTTGGACTCCGGTATTTTTAATCTCCCATCTCCAGCACAGTGAATACTATAGGAAACGGTGGATGCGGTCGCGACTAGAAGGAAACGAGCTGAATTCCCTGGATGGTGGCTGTGGGGGTGGGAAGGGGTTGGGATTCTCACGACCAACTAATTACAACACTCGTTACAATACTCGTTAACGTAGCAAACGAGATTATTTCTTAGGAACTTTAATTTTCAAATTCAAAATTATATTTAGGACCATTCCTTCCGTAATGAGTTTCCCTGTTAGGGCTGCTTCTCGACCATACTCATCTCTCCCTTAACCCATGAGAAATTCTCATTCCAGCACAAATGAATGCCAGTGCGAGTTGTCACCAAGTAACCCGCCATACGTTACGTTTGATCTCAATCGTCAGTACGACTGAGGAAGAATAGAGAATATGCGTGAGTGACAGAGACAGGGTTACGGAATTAATTAAAGAGAAAGAGAGAAGAGCTGTGATATCGAATAAAATTAAACAAGAAAAATCGGCTGAGTCGCGTTTCTCTTTAAACGAAGATAAACGGTTCTTTCAGCCTAATAATTTCCAATTACTCCGAGTTAGCAGCACTGTACTCCTAGTACGTATGTATAAATATACGTATGCACTGTACATACATACTAGACAGTGCATTCATATATTTCCATATGTGACTGGTAGCTGCAGGATAGAAAATATTGCTCCAAACACAGGCAATGCTTTGGTACTAAAAATTAGAGTATCCGGTGTTTTTTTTCTTCCCAACTTTTCCCTGACTTTTTTGCAGAAGGGTAGTCTGTGAAGATGCTGGAAAAAATAGTACTCATGCGTATCTACCGACTCGCGGTTCATCGACTCTGACAGTACCGTGGAGAAGCAGCGATAAGATTCATGAGGAATCGTGGAAGAATCAAAAATCGAAAAAAGAAGCTCTAAAAATATTGTCACGTGAATGCGAGCGAAGGAAGAGCAGGAAGAACGAGGATTTGCTATTTTTAAAGTGAGAAATGTCAGACGATATTGTCAAAGGTTAAAGGTCAACGCAGGCCCAGAGGGTTCCAAGGGAAGAGCTTTGACCTCCGACAGGTTCTATATCGGGGACCAGGAGGAGTGTCTTCTCTCTGCTAAAGAATTTATATAAGAGATCTGTGTTTTCTTTGTTGAAAAATGGACGTAAAAGTTGCTCAAGAATTTTAAAAACAAAAACTTCCAAGGATCTCACAGTCTCTTGGGTCATTCTCGCGAAATCCTTATATGGTTCTTCTTCAAGATACACATGGGTGCCACATCCTCTTCAGACCCACGTATATCCAGGAGGATCCCGTTGCCGATTCCGGAAGTGGACTGACAGCCAAAGCGTTAAAGATGTCAGTCAGGTAAGTACTGTGGCAAATCCAATATATCCTGAACTAACTTGAGACTCCTGGAGGGTGGCTAAGAGTAAGAGCGTCGTCTGCTGTCAAGACGTAGGAAGGAGGGACGGCATATTGCATTCTGAAAAAGAATATAAAGAAGAGAGGTAAGAGACGCGGTACACGAGGATCCGGAGGATAAGATGGAAAAACTTAGATTACTGCATTTATCTCACAAGTCTCACCAACTTGCAGAACTACGACTATCGACTATCGAGACTCGATTCTACTCATCTTTCTTTCAAGTTACTTACGCCGTTCTACCTCGATACCAGCCGTGACCTACGAACCCTCGAAATGGCCTTTTTAGGTTTTCTTTCTCCCTTTCTATATATACCCTTACAGCAGTAGCAGCCTTATTCAGCCGGAGAATCAGAAGCACCGACGTCAGGACTGGCAGCTTCCAGCCCTCTGACGCTCTGCTCGTTCTTCATCCGATTTTACGAGCTCTCGACGCCACCCCTAGACTTCCCTTAACCGCCCCACCCATCCACAAACTTTGACCAAGTGGAGGAACGCACTCTCCCCCTTTATCGCCTTCCATGAACTCTGAGAACTTTATTCCTCGAACTTTCAAACAATGTCTTCCACCGTTCCACGGCACCCAATCCTGACGTCCTCAGCCTTCAGCCAACCTTCTAAATCTATGATCATGCTCGACAAAGATCTGCCAAGGCAATTTGATTATCATTGACGAACTGCCTTATTGAAATCCTTCGTGTTTGTAGCTCTATCGATTCGTCTATTTACCTCTGGTGCTCATAATTAAACCGGAAATGAACTGGGGGGATGATAATGCAGCTCATGCAGTTCGTTTACTTCGGGATTATGAGAAAATCCCCGAGTCTCTCTGATCGGTTAAATCGAATGGAAACCCGTTTGGAGTCCAGTGTCGTTTTCCATGAGGTTTAGAACCATATTATGGAGGGCTGCTCATGAAAGAGAGAAAAATGAGGTCGATCAGCACAAGTATAACCTCAATAAAGTTTATAAGGCTCGTGGATCCACTTAGAGAGGAAACTGAGACCCAAAAATTGACATATATAACAATATATACGTTACCTACCCATTAAAGCAGCCACTGTTACGGGTTGATGTCCTCCCTTCTTTTTTTCTTTTCGATCCTTCTCCAACCCTTAATTCTCTCTCTCACCTCTATCTACTTCCACTCTACTCTCTTGATGATCCTCCACGCTTTCAATTTCACAAGGTTGCCTCTCAAGGGTGAGACATTTGTCAAGCAGCTGGGACAAAGGCCATTTTAAACCACTGCATGGGTTAATTAATCACTCTGCGCACTTTCCTGCGCACCCCCGGTCTATATTCGGCTTAGGCAGAGCCACAATTTCTAACCCACCTGGGTTTACAATTCCGGTTGGTACTTCTCTTTATGCTCCTGGTGACGTCACGCTCAGGATTTCCTCAAGGAAACGAATGGCCACGGTGTTGGGCTTCAGCGGGAACCTCGGGAACTCTAAAATTTCAAATTCCTATGAATTCACTGGTAAAATCCAAGCTCTTTCATTAGCGTTTTACTATTGCGACGTATACTCTACCTGTTATCTAGAATGCACAGTTCTGCGCTCCCATAGTAATTTAAATTATCCCTAGACCCTGGTTCCAAATGTAGCATCATATTTGACATCAGGCACAGCAATATTAGCAAGTGTGAAATAAATGGACCAGAGGTCCCAGGATGATACAAGCTTTTAGTAGTTCTGCAAATTGACGCTGGTCTGTAGGCAAAAATAATACTATGTAAACATAAACTAGACTGACAAGCATCTACTGAAATATCGGAGACAGAAATTGCACGATGCGTTAGGGATTGAAACAAGGCTCGTGAAAATCGTCACCAGTGGTCCCTTTACTTTTGGCTGCTCCGAAGGCTCATTAAGTGAATAAAAAGGTATAGGGCTTACGCCTGTGACACAAGGGTAGGCGTAAGCCAAAGCGTGATGAAAAAAAAAGTTAATAATGATGGGAAACCGATGCCACTGGGGGGTAGCAAGTTTCATTTTGAAGCAGGTTCAGTCGCCTGTTATTCTAAACTCACTTAATGCGTCTACGGTTGACTTTTTTTTTGGTCAGAGTAAGTCTTATCTCCCTCGCAGGTTTCTGGATTATTAAAAGGTTTACTGCGGGGTTGGCATTGCTGGTAGTCGGGTGGCTACGGTTTACTCAGCTGCTTTTTGTCTTTGGAGGTTGTATACGAACACTTTATTATTCCATTGCGTAATTCCAGCTTAAGGTTTCTCCTTGAAGCCCGCTCGCATTCACTGGCTGCCATTCTGTTGCCGTTTCTCTTGTTACCTGTTTTGTATAATATACCAACCCCCGTACTACACCTTCTATTCCCACTACATCGCACGCAACTCCCTCTCGTTGTTAACGCAACCCTATTATCTCGTTAATTCCATATCGTCCTTTGGGCTGGAACAATGGCGCGAATTTTAAACCGGATCATTTTATGCTTCCACCCTCACTGAGTAGATTCACTGAGCATCCCCCATTTTCCTTTACAATCCCTCGAGAAACGTCGATGACGTTCAATCTCCCAAAGTTCTATTGGATGGTTCGGTGATGTGGGGGGTGGTGATGTGGGGGGTGGTGATGTTCCAGAAGAAGCAGAAGGAATTCACATCGTATCCGGCGCAGGGAGTAATTTCTGCGAATAGTCCCGGTAGGGTGAAATCTGCCTGGTGGAGTGCTCTGGAGAAAGGGGAGAAAGAAAATTTTTCTCTGAAATAAAGTCAAATCTTATGATTCCTCACCATTGTCTGTCCTTCTTCTTTTACTTGGCAGCCCCGTCAGCGCCTTGCAGGAATTTTCTCTCTCGGCCCCGCAATCACCTAGAATCGAGATGCGAGGGTGAATTAAATGAAATTTAGCCCGTGAAAAATCAATTTTTCATCCCACCTGTCTTCTGTATTTTCATTCGTCCATTTCTCACCGTTCATCCTTGCACTGGCGTTATCTTATTTGCTGGATGCATCATTGACCTGTGAAAATACAATTTTTTTACTTAAAGCTCACCCCGTATATTTCCTTTTAAATTCAACGCTACTGTGCTCGGCTGGCTGTAAATGAATATGACCACTGCAGGCGTCGAGTCAGTCAGGCAATATGGCGCGTGAATGTTCATGCGAACAACATTATTTCATCATGGCAGAAGTTTTCGTTATGAGCGTTAAATATTTCGTGATCGCAAAGGCGTATGAATATTCACTGACCATAAAAACAAAAGTCTCTTGAAAAAGGGGCATAAATCCTGAAAGCCAAAAAAATGTCAGGCTCTTCATTAAGTTGAGTGAATTGAATTCATAATATCGTTCAGGAACAGCAAGGCTCTCGAAAATTTTATTTATTTTTTCCTCCACTCCGTCCCCCCTTATTCTCATCTAGATTCCACCTCGTTTTCCACGTTTTCCACGTGTCCCTACCCCCTTTTCCACCCTTTCACGCTTCTCGCCCACCGAGAGAGAATCCATCGCCATTAACCTTTTCGTTGGGTGACAATTCTTCGCATTAGCCCGCGATCGCGACAACCTTCGTCCTCTTTTCCCCCTCAAACCCGTGAAAGGTATTCGCAATTTTTTTCCTAACGAATCCCATTAGTCCCAGGGTGAAGCTTCCACCGAGATAGAAATGGTAAAAAAGAGGGAGAGAGTTAAGCAGAATAAAAACTTAAGAGAAAAAAGTTAAACGTATGTAATAGCATTTCCTTCGCTTCAATTTCCTTCATCAGTCGCAAATTCACGGCGACCGTCGCTACATACAAACACGGACGAACCATAAAACAGTTTGGTTAATGTTTAAAACAAAAAGGCCAAGTGCTTGTCGACCAAAGGAGGTTTCTTGTTTAGTATTCTTACTTTTTTCTTTTCCTTTAATAGAGGTTACGTCGAAGAAAAAGAAACCTCCGAAGGAAAATGCCGCGTGTGAGAATGAGAATGGAGAAAAAGAAAAGTTTTTACTGAAAAGCCGATTATATTCCGCAAAGTTGTAAATGCCGGATAGTCCCTCGGTTTTTCGCGGGTTTCCAAGTGGAGTTTTTTCACGGAGCGAGCGACGAGCGTGAAATTCTGGGCGACGTTGCGAGAGCAGGTCTGATAAAGGTAGTGAAAGAGAAAAAAATAAAAATAAAAGGTCAAGAAAAAATCCTGTCAGGAAAAAGGAAGACGATCACGAGCCAGAATGAAGTCTGCATTTTTTTTCTCTCTTTTCTTTCTTCTTCAGTCTCAAAGTCCTTTTCCCGTTTATCGTTAAACCGATCCAAGCAATAATAACTTGCAAATGAAAAATTGTCTCCTGTTCCTTTGCCTCCAATTGCAATTATTCCTCCTTCAAAAGACAAATACCACAAATTAACATTTCTAGGACAGATTTATTCAGGTCCACCTGAAGTTCTTACGTTTTGTTTTAGTCCTTCTCTAAAAATATATTCAACTGATACATTATTCCTGAACAACCTTATATACTCACAGATGATTTAAATGTTTAAAACCACTGAATTCATCGCAATGCATTTCGAAGAAGCGATAAATGCCATAAAAATACATTCAATTCTAAAATATTCAAGAATTTATTCTTTCCAGCTTCGAATAAACGGAATATCGATTCTCTGCTTGGGTCATTCCTCTCAAATTGATCCACCATCTTTGCCGTCCTTCTACCTCAATTAAATGCTCCAGTGAACAATCCAATAATAATAAAATCAGTACTGATTAATCACCAGTCAACAAGTTACTATATTAAATAAAACCAAAAAAGAAGCTTACCAATAAACCAAAAGCTGAATCCTATATGCACAACTATACATATTACGTCCATAAATTCCTAGTGCTACGTAACCATCAACCACACTCATAAAGTTTTTACAGGTTTCACCATATTTATAAATCAATTTTTCTTTATAGTAAAAATGGACACTCAGCAAGTCCACTTGTGACGTATGATACTAAAATGGATATTGTGCCCATGGTATGTACATACATACATTTATAACCGCATATCGATCTGCGTACATAGTTGCTTATTCCATGAAAAGACAACACAAATAACTACCAGTACGTCTTAGACAGCCTGTAACAAAGTAAAAGAAATTCAATAAGAAATATTCAAACAACATCTAATGAAATCGGTCGCCATATTGCGGCAGCATATTGCGGCATATACTTCCTACTGAGTGCAAGTAGCAATATTTAAGAGAACGAGACGCAATTATCTATTGAGAAAACAGACAGGGGAAAGAAATGAGTAAGTAAAGAGAAGGTAGATAAAAGTAACGGTAAGAGAAGGAAATTAAAGGGATGGATAAAGAAGGTAAGGAAAAGCACGTGCCTCTCAACGCCATGGCGGACGGTACAGTCCTGATGAGAAATAAAGAAGAAAAAAGGACGTCGAAGGTGGAAAATGCGACGGAAGAGTCCGTGCTGAGGGAGGCACGTAGGGAATCTCGTTAACTGGAATAAGCCTCGAGGGAGTGAGAGATAGAAAAGTGAAAGAAAATGGTAGATGTAGAAGAACGTAAACGTTTAGGGTATGGTTGGAAAAGCGAAAAGCAAAAAGTATATAAATGGGAGAAATCTAAAGGTAAAAGGACTATACCCCTCTGATGGTACGATGACTCAGTACTTGCTGGTGGATCCAGGGTGAGTATTCGTGAACGTTGGGTATAGAGATTCATGAATAGCTTTGGCAAATGCATTAGATAACTTGACAGTGTCAGAAAGGCCATTTGCATCGAGAGCGAGGACATTCGTCATTGCTAGATGGTCCTGGCTTCCTTCTAGTTCCTCCTGGTTATTCCAGGTTGCTTCTGTACTGCACCCTCGCCGCTTGGTACTACTGCACAGACTGTTTCCTCTCGTTATAGTACAGACAGGGGTGCATACTCAGCCAGCGCCTTGAAAATTCTCTCTTGAAAATTCCCTAGGTAACAGCATCCTCCTGGTGACACTGCAACAGTTATTTTAATTTAAAAAGTCATTTGCGTTAATTAGAAATATCTTTCTTTGTCTGACTTTACTATGTGTCCTTAATAAAAAAATTTTACAGCCCATATTATTTCATGGAACGACCACAAGAGGTAAAATAGAGCAGTACGTATCAATTCAAAGGAATCAATAATCCATGAAATAAAAGGACGTATAAATTTTCCGCGTATCAATTCAATTGAACGATATCTTGAATAATACAACAGAGAGAAAAGATATACTTAGGTATGGTATGAGGTCAGATTCTGTTGGGTTGGGTGAGTATCTATATTATTTCGTGAACTCTTGGTAATTCAATGACCTCCCGTTGCCATAAAAAATAAAAGGACTGAAAAAAGCCAGTGTCCTTTGCTCCCACCAAAACGATTCGGTTTTCTGCAACAGATGCGAGATCCTCGCTGCTTTCGTTTGGACTCCTCGCTGTGACTCCCCCAACCGACTGGTTGGCTGGCTGGTTGCCAGGGTTGACCTGGGTTTACATGAATATTTAACCCCCCGCAGCCTTCATAAAGTGCCATTACACGTTTTACTACCGTAAAGGGACGTGTCGTGAAAATGCGTGTGTTTATGTTCGTCCCATGGTGAATGGCCGCCATGACGATATATCCCAGCGCACGTGACAGAGCTGGGATCTGTTCTCCACAGTCATAAGATAAAACCTAACCATCTGCAACGGCTCTTAAATGATCGCCATTAAAACTGACCCCTGCATTGTCAATCCGTTTCATCGAGTTTACAATCCAATAAGCTTTAAACCACCTATTCCCGCGGTTTAAACTGATGTATTAATATTCCGCAGATACCAAGGTGACTTTTATCTTAATATTCTCCGACCTTGACATCTTTTCATAGTTTTATGAATATCCAGATTTTCTCTCTCTCTCTCTCTCTGTAGCAGATTAATTTGGTATCTGAAACAATAAAAAGAGTTATAGCGTTGCCACAGGTGAAAGGTCTTGATAACCAGAAATCTTAAGAAAAAAGTGAACGTTACCATTCATTAAATGGCGTCCATTATAGCCTGAAACTATAAATGTAGTGGGGAAACTATTTAAGTCATGCTGTTCTTCGACATGGGAAATGCTTTTGAGATTTCTACCCCAGCGACTCGACTACCAGTATAGGAAGTAAGCATGGCTGACTTTGAGGTTAGGGTTATTACCGTATCGTATAGTAACTGATTTCCCATATGGCGTTACTAGTTCAAGAGTGAGCCGCACCTACGTACGTAATATAATTTATAGGATAACGACAGTTATCTATTGTTATATACATACATATAATATATATAGTATGTCTAATTTTGAATCCTATTACAAATTAATATAATTGAAAGTTAGATTACTTGACAATTAAGCTGCACTCTACGTTGAGCATCATTGAAATTCCAATACGAGCAACCAACCCTTAACGAACCGACCCCCTTATACCGTTAGTGGTATAAAGATAGGAGGTGGAAGGGGGAGAGGACTCTCCTTAATAGATCAATTTGTCACGAAACAAATCCTCTCTACCTCTCCTGATAATTTTTCATGGCACAGCTATTTCTTGATTCCATTTTCTAACTTTTTTTTTTCCTCCTTGTCAATCGAGGTACCAACAGCTACACCCACTTTCGGTTTACTCAAGCTTTCCCATTTATGAGAGGGAAAAGGTCAAATCCTGGACCGATTTAGTTTCTTCTAATTAGAAGAAAGAGGATTGAGAAGTTTTCAACGGTGCGCAATTACTTGTATTAAAGCCGCCCTTCTCGGATGGTCGTTCACTTCCTCTTTCTGGTACGACGGCGCATGCGCAGACGGCCAACAAACAATCAGGAGGACTACAGAACAAATAATGAGAAACAAAATGAAAAGCTTGGCTAAGGGTAGGAAAGTCAGACTGAGTTGGATGGTTTCAGATGGGAGCTGCTCCAACTACATGATACAGAGATTAAAGGAGGGTCCGACAGCCTCCGGTAACGAAATCAGTAACAAAATCATTAATTACGAGAGAAAACAGTGCCTCGGCACATAGCTACAGATGCTAACGCGTCTCTGGATTCGTTAAATAATTAAAACGTTGGGCAGAACATTCATTTAAACTTCTTTTTTCCTTTCTCCCTTTCTCGCCACTTCCCTTCACCGCCACAACTTCTTTCCTCCGTTTCACCAGATATTTCAACTAATTCACCCGTACCATATTTCGCATGAACAAAAAGATCCCTATCGCGTGTATTCCCTAGGGAATTTAGTACCGTCTATTGAAAATGCATACGAATATATGTGTACTATGCATATGTAGGAACTAGACGACGTTCTCGGTAGCTAGACAGGAATACCAACGGAACACGTACAGAAATGGATATAGGCAACGGGCCACTTTCGTCACTGGAGTCTTCTAAACATTATCCGAGTTAGAAAAGAAAATACTAAAGTGGTAGAGAAGAGGAATGAACGTGAGAGAGATAGAGAGAAGAGGTTTAAAAATTCTGAAAACGTCGCGAGTATTGTCTTTGGTAAGGCAGCTTGTGCGCTACGTTACTCGCATAAAGAGCGAAGACTCTCTAGGTGTTCAGGATAGGTTAGGTTGATACTCCGTAGGCTATCAACCGACGGTTGTAGGTCTTAGGCTGTAGGCTGATAAAGTCAGTGCGCTCCCTTGACCCCTTCCGACTCTTTCTGCAAGAAAAATAAAATGGATAAATAAAATGGCCGGAGGCTGTACCTTCGGATAATAGCTCTGCTATAGCGATCTACGTTTTGTTTATACGTACAATAAATTCCCACTGCCAGTGTCCAACCAGGGGTTCTTGTGGAAGGGTAAGAAAGAAGCGTGGGACGGCCTGCACGAACACAAGAGAAACGAAAGGCTTTTAGAGATGGTGAAAATGGCAAACAACCACCAATCCCACTTAGTATTTACTCACCTCTGTCACTACTACCCTTAACTATCTATACATAGCTCTGCCTTGCTTATATATATATATATATATATATATATATGTGTGTTCTCTGCCTCACTCTTACACTCGAAACCCTTCATTATCACCCTTGCAGCTCCTATCTCGCCCTGAAGTTTTCTCGCCGAGAGGACTTCTTTCTCCTGGATTATAACGAGCCACTTATCCATTCTGATTTTCTTAAGGGGTGCCGGAAGCGCCAGGTCAGACCGCGGCGAACCGAAGAGAACGGTGGGTGCGACATAGGAGGTTGTTGGAGATGGTGCTCAAGACGATGCGCCAACCCCTTTATCGGTGCAGCTGACTGGAATAAAAAGAGCGAGTGGGAGAATTAAAAAGTAAGGGTGATCAAAAGTGTGAGATGGGGTGAAATGGTTGAAGGGTATCTCTACTAGGAGGATGACGATGAAGGATCGAATAATTAAGGAGGATTATTAAGGCAGGGAATTAAGCGCCGAAAGCATCAATGGATAAAGGGATGCTGATGTTACTAATCATGCACAAGACTGCCAGCCTGGGCTAAAGGTATCGATAAAGCATACTCAAGATATCTATGAAGTGTCTATCTATTTATAGAAATTTGAAACTTTCATTTGTTACCTGGTACAAGAGCCCTGAGCTTTTGTAAAGTCGGTCAGCAGCATCGAGTAACCAAGGGAGTGGCAGGTCGTTACGGGGGTTAATTATTATTTCCAAGTCAATTACGTCCATGGCGAGGGCCAAGCCGACAGTCAAACGTACAACTTGTTTCAGCTCATCCACTTTAATTGTCTTCGTTCTTAATTACCAGGTCAGAAACCGCAGTGAGACCTGGGACAAAAGAATCAGAAATAAATCAAAGTGAATTCGAAATAAATAGCATCATCGAGAAGAAGAAGGTAGTGTCGAAGATACAAAAGAGCAGATGCAGAGATGATATAAAGAGAGAAAAAGAATGAAAGATGGCCGACAGGAAGCAGAGTCCCGTTAAAAGACCAATCCAGATTTCTTGATCCTTAATATGAAGAGCATCGACTTCCGGTATCACCCTATATACTTCAACCCCTTTACCACTTCTCTATCCCATTGATAAATCTCTCCCAGACACGCCCACCATACCAAAGCAATGCATCCCCCAACGTATAACCGTTGGAGATGCTTTATATCCAGGTTAAAACCTTTTTTCACTATTTCCTGAAGGGCAGCCGCGTTAACCGACCAAGTGAATTCTCATTCTCGTTCTCGTTTCCGACAACGCACGCAACCTTCCTACCCCTTCCTGCAGGAACCCCAACCGTGTGTGTCAACCACATCCTCTCCTGGATCTGACCGCATCCTTTCAAGAATATCATTTTCCTTAACTAGATAAAGACACTGGACGCACGTTATAACGAGACAGCACGAAGAATTTCGGATGACTAAGCGGAAGTGATATGCCAGTTCAAGTAAAGACATTGGATCCATGGATTAATGAACGCTATAAATTTGACGCATCTATTTGACTTTAATTAACGCGACCAATAGATTGAAGAAAAAGATTCGAAAGTTTGATATAAATTTAATCCTTATTGTATTCATGACTCTCCCTTAATTTCGCTTCGAGCCATCAATTTAATGTTCCTATAAATTCATCATACTGTACCACGTACGCTATGTATACCCTGATACTCACTGTATACCACCGTAGTTCAAACACAGCTCATTATTCCACATGAGGTACAGTAGGTACACCGACATACCTACAATATTCAAAAGCATTGCGTAAACAATAAATCAGTGAAATTCCATTCTGATACTTTCAATAAAGGCAATACCTCGATTAGATAATTATACAAATATACATAAAATCTTCTATTGAACAGGTGAATTGCAGGCAATCGATAGGTCCTACCCAAAATGCCATCAACGTCTAACCGGAACGTCATTATCTGGTGCATCCGAACAGAAAGACTCTCCCTGAGGAGAGGAAGCACATCCTTCCCCCACTCTGTAGGGATAACGCTATGGGCTGGCCGTTGGCGTCGGTGCACCACGTGGGAAAGAGACGCCGCCAGACGAGGCCAGACACAACCAACAGGTAGACCAGCTGGACATCAACGTGCTACCAAAGGAAAGAGAAAGATGGAATAACATTTCAGGTGAGAGTGAGAGTGCAACAAAGAGGGGTTTATAGGATTTGAAGTGAATGGGTAAGAGAGGGAGTGAGTGAGTGAGAGAGAAAGAGTGTGTGTGTGTGAGAGAGAGAGAGAGAGAGAGAGAGAGAGAGCGAGTGACGAAATGAAAGAGTGAGATATTATTACTCACAGGTGCTACCAGACCGGCAGTGGCAATATGTTCCTGATCTACTCGACACAAGGCTCAGTATCCATTTTGCTTGTAGTGCGTGATCATCCTTAACGTCTTTCTGTAAAATTTAAAAAAAGAAGACAATATTCAGTGAATAATATTTAGGAAAATTTGGTGCCTGGTACTGTTTTGATTATCGTGCAAACTTTGTGAGAAAATTGAAAATTCAAAAAAGTAAAAGAGTATATTGATTTTATAAAATGTCATTACGAGTTCTGAGTACTCGGTTAAGGATATAAAATATTTATCCTTGTCTCTTGATACAAGACCCACCTCGTGTATAATATGCATATATACATGCATGATTGACTTTCTTGAAATTCATTAAAATGAAAGTGTATTTTCATTAAAGAAACACAATGAGCGAGATACATTTTTCTTTGTAAATCTTTCTCGGGATGCGAGAAAAATACGAAGAATTGATTTCCGACAAAGGAGAAACGTACCGCTAGTAAGAAGTAAGGTGGAGATTCTATTTGCGCAATAATAATAACAGCAATACCCGGTAACACGAGAAAAGAATACAAAGTAGGGAGTACCTCTGAGGAATATATAAATGTGGTGAGAATTCGTGAAAAAGTGAAAAAAAAAATAAATAGAAATAAAAAGGACAATAACGAGAGTGTCGTATATCGATAAGAGCAAGATGAGAATCTTGACAGATACGTTTGTCCTCGATTTATTTATCTTGGAAAACCCATGAATGTATCGTCGTCACTCCGATGGATATACGCAGAGGATCCTAGTGACGCCAAGAAAGAATCGTATATTTTCTCAAGAGATGCGAAGATTCCGGGTGTGTCGTTACTCCGTAGTCTGTACTCCATGGCGGCGTGTTGTGCTGCGTGTGCTGTGACGTGCTGTGTCGTGCTCAGAGGGTGAGGCATCTCTATACGACTCTGGCATAGCAATCACGTAGAATAGGTAGGCGAGCACGTTCAACCAAATCCTCGACATATTCATCATCCATTGCGGAAGCTGAAGAAGAGAGTCTTCCAGAAGGACGTGTCGTAGCGTGCTCGAGTCCTTCCACTTCGAAATTTCATTTGATTGGTTCTGGAGGTAGAAGAAAAAAAAATGGTTATCGCCAGTACGAGAACGAGCGGATCGCGCGAGGAAACCGGTAATAAATTGCGGAGATCAAGAAGATTGTCCTCGACGAGAGGGCTTGCTCTTAAGGATATTGGAAATTCAGATAATCGAGAGGGTCCGTCTTTGCCGAGGCAGGATCTCAATCAAAAGCTTGGGCTATGTCCTATTGTCAGTAAAAATGTAGATGACCGTGAGAAGATTGGTAGCAAGGGGAGCAGTGTTATTGATTGGGAAGTTAATGAGAGAATTAGTCTGAGTAGTGGATCAAGTGCTGGGATTGAGGTTAGGACGGATACTAAAAATGGAATTGAAATTAGTAGTCCGCGTAGTAGGAACCTGATGGAGCCCTCTGGTGGAAGAGGAGTCTCCGAGACTCGGAATCCTTCCACGAGGAACAAAGTATGCTTGAGGAATGGTTCGAAGCCTGTTCTTGAATTAATGAACGTTTCCGGATTTTCTGGGGCTGAGCAGAAAATGCATTCCTCAAAATTAATGGAGAGTAGAGCACGAGAGGCTTATATGGATGATGCTGAGGTCGTTCGCGAGGATGAAAATGTTCTGAAGAGCGACTCCAAGTATGAGATTGGTATCCTTGCTGAGACGTCTAGAAAGAAATCTAAACAGAGAAGAGAATCTGTCATGGGTACGATCAAGTCACAGAAATCTAAAACACCGATGAAATCTGGTGACAAGATGGCCGCACCTGTTGGCGATCGCAGGTGGACCGCGGCGAAGGCTAAAGTGGACAAGACAAATGACTCGATTTCCAAGAGACTCGAATTGATTCACGAACTCAATCAAAAGATCCTGGCAAACTACGAGAAGTTCCAGCAGAGATCCAAGAGGAGTCACTCGAAGGGCTCGAAGGATTCGAAGGAGTCTCTCAAGGGTAGCTCAAGAACAGCGGAGACAGGAAATGGTCGAAGTCCACTTCCGGATTTTGAAAGGATCTATGATAATCATGATCATCTCTATACTGAGATCGTTTCCAAGCGCAAAACCAAATCCTCAGACAATTGTAAACTCCAGTTGAGAACTAAACACGATGATCCAGGGCTTCGACAAGGTAATCTGGACAGCAACAAGTTCACCTTCTCCAAGGACTATTGTGAAAGATTGGTCTCGAGTAAGGATCGACCGACGAGTTTACAAAAGAGAACAAAAACGCCAAAGCCTTATCAGGACCTCAATGAGAATTTTAGTCTCGCAGCAAAACCAACTTTTCACAATCAGGATATACCCAATAGACCCGAAAGCACATCCTCCAGGATAACTAGTTCGATATTTTATCTGGAACAGGAGTCCAGGATCCTTCAATCTAACAAGGACGAACTGGAGGACAGACAAATGTCCTGTAGATCATCAATAACGAAAAAAGACACAGAGCACAGTTGTACCAGAGATAAATACGATGAAGTCAATCAGGAGAGTCCCGGAGGGGAACTCAAGAAACAAAAAATTTTAGAGAATCAAATTTTGGCCGACCTCAACGAGACTATATTGAAATTTGAAAAAAAGTCATCCGACAGTCCAACTGACGACAGCTCAGAGACTACCGACAAGAGTCAAAGCTTCAGTACAGACTCGATCCAAAGCAGTCCTAGAAAGAGTCCTGAGAAGCGTAAAGATCCCAGCTTGATGGAGACATTTAACTCCTCTTGGGATTCTGGAGTGGGTGTTGAAGTGGGAAGTGGAAGTGGCTGGGTCAGAATTCACACGGGAATCGAGAGCAGCCTGGTATACCTGACTCTCGACACTACCAGCAAGGATGTTTGTCGAGATATGCTTCTAGGTGAGGAGTTAGCCATCTTCGTTCAGGTAAGCTCACATAGTCTGTACCTGTAATAGCCATAAGAGGTTACTCTAAAATCATGTTATGCTTCCACTTGCTAATTATAACATCTTGTACCAACAAACCTGATCAAAGTACTTGGTCTGACTAGCTCAGTGTACACAACTATCTTCCCATACAAATTCATGCCTCCTACTCAAAAGTTCAACCATGCAAGAACCTTTGAAAAATATATCAAACGTGAATAAACACTATGCACAATGAAAACTGTTTAGATTAGAAAGCATACAGGGTGCCATTAGAGAATTAGAAGGAAGTTTGACTAATTTATTATATGAAATATATACTTTAGTAACAGAATTTCTTACACTGCTAAACTAACATATACAAGTAACCAGCAGATTGCACAATCTGCAGACTGTAATACTCAAAGACTCGAAGTCCCTAGTTCTAGCTTCTGTGTTATCCAAGATAAATCCACGGGGTGCAAACACGACCCGGAAGTTTCACAGGATAAAGAAGACAGTCTTTTAAATCTCATGGTCTATCGGAAATCACGTTTCTCGGGTTGATCAGGGTGGGATGCGTCTTTCCGGTTGAGAGTATTTTTCAGGATTTTCGCGGATGAAGTGTCAAAGAAAAAAAAAGAAAATAAAAAGCCTTTTCAAAGCAGGCAAAGTATATCTGAATAAAAAGGCAATTTCCACAGCGATCATGTGTACCAAAGGTCTTCCATAAGGTTGAGATGAATCTCGGCAATAGTTCAAAATCGATGGACAGCTATAAAGTTTGGAAATAAAACGAGTAATCTGAAGAAAGAAAAAAGCATAAATATCTCTTGAAGCCCCGCAATCAGAAATGACAATGTATGTTTAGCAATGTATATATATAGCATTTTTTTATGGTATCGCCAATGACGTCACTGTCTCCATTAGCAACAATGCTAGCACCCTACCTACGTCAGTATCCCAATATAAAAATTCCATGGAAAGAAACAGTATGAGGATTATAAAAAAAAATCAATCATCCATAAATTTCAAAGATCCTTCCTTCATGTAATTTCTCAAGCTTAGCTACTTACCCCACGGAATATCCACCCACACAATCTCCACCTTTCAATAGAATTACCAATAGTAGAATCACCTTGCACCTGAAGTGGAAGTCTCGAAGGATAATGATTACAGCACTGGCACACTCTTCCATTACGAGATAACGAGACTGAATATTCAAAGCAGTCCCGGTTCCTGTAAGAAGACTTACATAGTTACAAAGGAGGATACCCTTTAAAGCAAGATATTCAAATTAAACGTAAACGCCTACTATACAGCAAGAACAATCCCTAAAGCTTCTAGAACCAGACTCCTGAAGTACGAGATTTCATCTCAATGAAGCCAATCTTCTATATGGGAAACTATCTTCCCATCTACATATCCAAAAGCAGCATACCATGAAAAATAGAATACTTCATCGAAACTATAGGAGGCATTCCCAAAGGAAGACAGTCAACCTGAAAATTTCGATTCTAATGAAACTTCCTCATTCGACATGCTGCATACTTCAGAGGATTTAAGTGATCCTACTTACTCTTTGTTTACCTACCCCTCTCTCTCTCTCTCTCGCTCTGGCCCCAGAGAGTTGCTTCTCGATTTCCTCATCCCTCTACCATATATCCCTTACATGCTTCTGTCCTCTTCTTCGTTCCTCCTGATCCTTTGACTTTCACAGGTAATATCTGCTTCTTCCATTGAGCTCCCCAGGGTAGTAACTTCTTCCTTTGGAAAGACAAATGAGGGTTAGACTAAGTTCTGGGTGTAACAGAAATATATACCATACTTATATATCATTCTCAAAGGTATGCACGTTTAAGTGTACGTACATATATTTATATATATAGCAGCACTGCCAAAAGGTCGTTAGCAGATGTTTTTCTCCAATATCAATCCTTATCCAGATTAGACATTGAAACGTCATCACTTCTTATCCTTCACGCACCTTCAATAATAAATCCAAGTAAGATCCTAGTGTACGTTTATGTCATATTTTTATCTCCTTTGAGGGTTTCTTTTTATACCAATTGATCTTGCCACACATTTTGCCTTACCTTCCTCTCTCTCCTTCTCACTCTCTTTCTCTCTCTCTCTCCCCCACTGCTGGCAACTGCTTCCTCTCTGCTTCCCTCAGGTAGCCTGATTTACGAGGCGGTAAATGTGTCACGCGTAAAGAGGCCACCTTAATGCGTTCCTGTTCTCCTCCAGACTCGATTAAATCACCCCGTATAACCCGAAGCGTCTGTATACCTGAAAAATCAATATAAATAAATATCACACCTCTACTACTGTATTACAGACAAAAAAAAACATCCAAGACTTTCGGTTTATCTTATTGGCAAAAAAATAGTCCTCAAAGAACTTCTCAATTCTAACTTCGTTTAAGGGGTAGTTTTTCCCGTGAATCCATTTATACCCCATCCGTGTGATATCATCTAGTGTCCTACCCCCTATTTGGGTCATGGATAGAAAACAGATAGGACTTCACTTCGTGGCAGGAAAAGGATACCACCCACCTAGATAAGTACCCTACCCATACTATGTGTGTATGTACATACCTATAACCCATCTACCAGTCCTACCCAGGGTATCTCTAGGGGGTTGAAGGCAAAGGGGATGGAAAATCGTGAAAACCGAGAAAAGTCGATAGATTGATCTTACTGTACCCAAGACTATGGTATAGGGGGATAATGCGCCCGCGTATGACTATACAATAGCATCTAGTAGTACAGTATACAGTATATTTCAGTACTATATGCAGCTACGACGTATGTGCCATACGTTGGCAATGTATCCATCGATACTTGAAACCTTGTATACTATAGCATATACTATATACCCATAGGTACAATAGCATTATATATATATATAGACAGATATCCAAAGGTAAAGTACGTACACGCTAACTCGTAACGGTCAAATGAATATGACAATCGGGCCTGCACGAATGGTACGGATGAATCATAATAATATGTCCATTGGCAAATTCAATATTTGCAAACTGTACTCTCGACGTTTATATACAATTCGATTAATCTATCATTTCATTTGGAGTAATCGTCAAATTTAAATAGGATTTCTGGATGGACAAGAGAAATTCTGTGCGACGTACAGAAAAAAAAAAGAAAATACGGAATAAACGTACGAGTTTAAGGGATGAAAAAGACGAGGAAAAAAAAGATATTAAATCGAGATGAAAAAATTGATACTATTCAGAAATCGAATGTCTTTAACTCTGATTTAAAAAAAAAAATCTTTTATTTCATTCTCGTGGGGAAAATGATGAGGAAAGATAAATTGAGGTAAAAACCTCGCAAGATATACAGAGGATGAGTAACGTAATGCCAATTATATGGGATTGAGATAAATTTTTAAAAATTAAAAAAAAATTTAACTACCAACGTAATTGTGTGTCCAATTTATTGTGTCTTAGCCTCTCGTCGTTAGACTATCTTTATCCCTTATTAGTACGTTGGCTGTACTTGGCCTTAACGAGCCATAAGTGTCCCGTGTAATGTATGTATTTGTCGTAATCATTTATTGTGGATATTAAACGCGAAATTGTCGACCAAGTCGCTCAACGGGAGAAATTGGTGTATGTTGGCGAGATACCGCAAACAATGGAGGACTGGTGAACATGATGATGACGCTAATGATAGCAGGAGACGTTTTCCCATTAGGACAGATAGGAAGAAGAAGAACCTGTTTTAACCTTCCAATTGTTTAACAGCTGTCACCTGTTCATTTTTTTTCCCCTTATTTCCTCTCCTCGTATCCTCCTATTCTGAGTTCACCTTGCAGGTGCTTCGGGGGATGAACAGGTGTAACGAGAAATATCGCACGGTCGTGCCTGTCGAGAACGAAGGGACCTAAAACAAAAAGGGGAAGATATTGTACATACGAAAAGTGCGGGAAATTTAAAAGGATACAAAAATATATTTTTTCAATTTTAAATTCCAATTTCACCTGGTCCCTTGAATCAGTGCTGTATATACGTATACAGATACAGGGAACCGACTGTATTCTTCGTTTTGAGGACAGAGAAATTTTTTTTTTCAAAAACGAAATAACGGAATGCCAGGCCTTGCTTAGGGATTGAAATGAGTAGGGACAAAAAGTGGTGGTAAAAAAAATTTTTAATTACACTCGTTACCTTTTGAGTTAATTTTTAACGATTTTTTACTTTTAAAAAAAAACCTACGGTTTACGTTTTCATTCTGAATTAATTTGATCCTGCTCGGTAGGATGGATTTCTGTAATTAATTGGACAACCTTTGACCTCCGGGCAAAGTTTCTAATGTAATTGGACTCGTCCCTATAGTATCGCTCTGTCGAAAGCCGTTTCAATTTCGAAATTGAAAATCGTCGGCTTTCTTGTTTCTGTTTTTTTTTTTTTTTTTAAAAAAAAAAAAAAAAACAGAAACAAGAAAGCCGACGATTTTCAATTTCGAAATTGAAAATCGTCGGCTTTCTTGTTTCTGTTTTTTTTTTTTTTTTTAAAAAAAAAAAAAAAAACAGAAACAAGAAAGCCGACGATTTTCAATTTCGAAATTGAAAATCGTCGGCTTTCTTGTTTCTGTTTTTTTTTTTTTTTTTGAAAAGTCAAAATTAAACTTTTCAAAGTTACACCGCGATAACATTATGTACGTAAACGCGGCTATCGTGGTAAATAATGTAACGTTAATGGCGATCGTCGTTTATTTAAGCACCATTATATTATCACCTTCTTGCGTTATTACGCAATATCAGAATCGTTACCTTTGATTAAACCAAAGAAGCCCACGACCCGAGTACATATTGCACGCTTACAAGTTTTGATTCTCCGTTATTGCAAAAATTTTTTTCACATAAATTACAAATTACATTACGTCCATTAATTCGCCACCTTACTACCAGCCTATAGTGACTAGTTGCAGCTGAGTAATGAAAGCAGAAAAAATCTGTAAAAATACATATATACCATAAAATATTATAGACAAAATTTTCAAATAAATTGGAGAAAAAAAATTATTCAAATTGTAATTAATTAGTATGGACACCATGAGAACAAGAAATGACCGATGAACTAAAGGTAACTCGATATACTGGCCAGTTATAAATTAGGTCTAAGTAGTTGGTAACGCTTGAAGTATAGGGTAACGTATACCTAATATGGCGGTCGGTCGGGCAATAAATAAACGATTAAAACGCTCAGGCTTTGGCCACAAGGAAGGCGGTTTTAGTTGGGATTAGCAAAATGAAAGTCCCTACGTAATTAAATGTTAACGGGCCAATTAGGCGAGGAGGACGCATGGTCGGTCGGGCGAGACTTTGAAATTAACGTGCTCGTTACGCCGGTAAAAAAAGTGTATTACAAAAAAAAAAACCAAGAAAAAAAAATAAAAAAAATCCTCACGACAAATCTCTTGGCATGGAAGAAAAAAATTGTTTTCTCCCAACCACCCCCGCTTAAACGGGATCTTAATTTGGAGTTGAAGTAGGTCAAGTTTTTTCGGTACGCTGCGCGCCTTATTACTGGGCCTGTAGTAACCCTAATACGTTTTTAGGCTACAATATATATGCGTGTGTACGTGTGTATATATATATATATATATATATATATATATGCACGTATGTCCAGTCGTCCCAACCCAAATCGGTCCTAAACCTTAATTGGACTCTTTATTTAAAATTTTTTAAAGTCTTCCCTACTGCACTATAATATAAGTGACAGGAAGTAGCCGTATGCGAATTTGCGAGCCGTCGCTCCTATTTCGTATATTACGTAAGTCCGTTATTTTACACAGGCATTTTTAATATTTTAAGCTCTTCAACTCAAATTAGTTTTCTAGATTCACGAAAAATTCACAGGCAAGTCATTTTCAACGAAACGTTTTAAAAATGTATACGTAGTTTTATCCATAGATTGAAGTAAGTTATAAAAAAGAAAACGCTTTAAAAATACCTGAAATGTAATGTATTTCAATGAAGCTCTCCCGTGGCGGTATAATCGCGAACAGCAGATACGACGAAAATTAACGACGAAATCTTTCGAAATGGTCCTATATCCATTTGCCATTCTGAGAGCGTTCGTCCTCCTCAGCTTTTCCAGTGTTTCCCTGGTTTGATGTGACTGTCCTATCTGGTCGTGGTAGGATGTGGAACAACGTGGAACAATCTAGAAAAATCTAGAACAACCTAGAGAAACCTACGGAAACCTAGGAAAACCTAGAACAAGCTGGAATAACCTGGAAATCGTTCGAAATGGTCCTATATCTACTTGCTATGTATAAAACGTTTTTTTGATCCCATTCAAGTATTCTTTACTTAGCGGTATTAATATTCTGGAACAATATTTAGAACAACTAGAGCAATCTGGAACAACAAAAAAAGTTTGATTTTCCATAAGTGGGCAGTTCCAATAAAAAAGTGGTTTTTTTCGCCTCATCGCTACAAATTTCAGTTGAGAAACTTGTTGTTCTGGAGCATTATAGAACAAACTTAGAACAAGCCAGAACAACAAGTAGAACCGGAATTTTCGAATTATGGGGGGCTAACTTCCTGCACCCTCTGTTCGAACGAAAAATGACGCTTTTTAAATTAACAGAGACTGCCCCCTCCGACCCCTCTCGACCTCCACACCCACTCTACCTGTCTCCTACCTAAGCTCTCATCTCATCTCATGGCAACCGACGCTGTAATGAGTTTTGTTAATTACACGCCAGTCTCCGGGGACCGGACGTTCCACAGATTCCAGGAAGTTTGTCCGATCGGAACGAACGATCACACATATATATGTATATAATATATATATAAACAAGCAATGACCACATTTAAAATCTCCTAGAAAGATAGCGTGACTCCAGTGTATGTACATGCTACTACATCCCTGATATACTGAAACAATAGTTTGGCACCCCCCTACATTCTTTAGTTGAGTAAGGTTAGACCAGGGTAGGGTAACCGTAACCAGGGGTGGCTTCGACGAAATTGAAAATAGACCACCTCCTGAGAAACTAGAACGCCACACTGTATCAACCGTACATACATACAATAGATACGCAATATCAATTATATGCATCATTGTTTATCAAATTATGTATCAATCAATAAACAGTTCCTTGAGAACAATCAGAATCGCGTATCGGTAATCTTTATTCCTTCAAATGACGTGATTTATGATAGGATACTGTTTAAATATAAAAGTTACGCAAATATGCCCTGACTTATTCTGAAACGTGTGAATAGGGAAGCTATTTGGGAAGCTATTGTTGTCCTGCAATCGATGATTTTACTGGAGTGTTTGGAGGAAAGGTATTTTAGGTACGTAAACATTGAAAAGTAAAGGCGATTGATGAATGCGACATGCTGCAAAGGATGTTAGTATTGGAAAATTTGCCAAAGGAAATTTGGACAACGTCCGCTAGAGACGTAGCTACGTAAATATATGTGACGTTTTATGTGTATGTACATACATACCTGAATTTGAATTAAATTTAATTCACGTATGCACATAGCTTCACTTTAATGAGAATGCCAGTATAAAACGTTTTTTTGATCCCATTCAAGTATTCTTTACTTAGCGGTATTAATATTCTGGAACAATATTTAGAACAACTAGAGCAATCTGGAACAACAAAAAAAGTTTGATTTTCCATAAGTGGGCAGTTCCAATAAAAAAGTGGTTTTTTTCGCCTCATCGCTACAAATTTCAGTTGAGAAACTTGTTGTTCTGGAGCATTATAGAACAAACTTAGAACAAGCCAGAACAACAAGTAGAACCGGAATTTTCGAATTATGGGGGGCTAACTTCCTGCACCCTCTGTTCGAACGAAAAATGACGCTTTTTAAATTAACAGAGACTGCCCCCTCCGACCCCTCTCGACCTCCACACCCACTCTACCTGTCTCCTACCTAAGCTCTCATCTCATCTCATGGCAACCGACGCTGTAATGAGTTTTGTTAATTACACGCCAGTCTCCGGGGACCGGACGTTCCACAGATTCCAGGAAGTTTGTCCGATCGGAACGAACGATCACACATATATATGTATATAATATATATATAAACAAGCAATGACCACATTTAAAATCTCCTAGAAAGATAGCGTGACTCCAGTGTATGTACATGCTACTACATCCCTGATATACTGAAACAATAGTTTGGCACCCCCCTACATTCTTTAGTTGAGTAAGGTTAGACCAGGGTAGGGTAACCGTAACCAGGGGTGGCTTCGACGAAATTGAAAATAGACCACCTCCTGAGAAACTAGAACGCCACACTGTATCAACCGTACATACATACAATAGATACGCAATATCAATTATATGCATCATTGTTTATCAAATTATGTATCAATCAATAAACAGTTCCTTGAGAACAATCAGAATCGCGTATCGGTAATCTTTATTCCTTCAAATGACGTGATTTATGATAGGATACTGTTTAAATATAAAAGTTACGCAAATATGCCCTGACTTATTCTGAAACGTGTGAATAGGGAAGCTATTTGGGAAGCTATTGTTGTCCTGCAATCGATGATTTTACTGGAGTGTTTGGAGGAAAGGTATTTTAGGTACGTAAACATTGAAAAGTAAAGGCGATTGATGAATGCGACATGCTGCAAAGGATGTTAGTATTGGAAAATTTGCCAAAGGAAATTTGGACAACGTCCGCTAGAGACGTAGCTACGTAAATATATGTGACGTTTTATGTGTATGTACATACATACCTGAATTTGAATTAAATTTAATTCACGTATGCACATAGCTTCACTTTAATGAGAATGCCAGTGAAATAATTAAAAACGGATGTCAGGCTGAGATCGTTGAGAAATCTAGCTGAGCTGGTCGCGTCCAATTTAATATTAATTGACGATCGCGGCGAAATGACATTAAAGGTAAAATTCATAAGCGACTAACCTGTCATTGTCGTAGATATAAGGTTACGATCTCTCGAGCTACTGGTCTCCCTGGTTCTAATCTTCTTGACATTCTTCCTTTGTCAACCTCTGTCTTGTTATATTTTTAAGAACTTCACATCCAGGTCACTCTTGAGCTTTTAATTATTACAATGGTCGCTCCGTTAAGAAATATATTCTCGAGCGAGCCTCACGACCAAGGCAGTTACCTACCCACGAGCAGACGAATCCAATATGGCCGCGCGTGGCCAATGATCGTACAGTAACGTAAACAATTCAAATTGCCGTGGAATACCCAGTATCAGGAAGAATAGCAATTTATATCCAAAGCTTCGATACTCTACCAAGATGGCTTTTCCTCATTTTACAAAGATCTGTCAATCACGATATCTCCTTACATCCTGCAGTATAAACATAAACGAAAGAAAGGAAGCAAAAAATAAAAGAGGTAATTTTTATACGATATTCTTTACCGATAGAAAATCCATTCTCTCAACTAGTAAGTATCCTTTTGACACGTAAATCCCTTGTTACAGCCATGTTTACCCGCATGGAATAGCTATTACGTTACCTTTTACACATATCCCTCTAATCGGCTTGTTTCACTTAATCCATTTCACATTGATATTCCAATCACCTGCCGACATACATATATTCCAAAAGCATTCCTATAATCCATACCTACACACTGGTCAGGACGACTTAACCTATGAGTATACGAATACATAAACTATAGGATCTTGCCTATTTGTCAGGATATCTTTTATTTATTCTTTTATTTCGTTTTACAGTACGGCGGCGAGCCTGGACGTAGATTATCGATGCAGGAGAAGCCCCTGGAGCTGCAAGATGAGTTTCTTCAACGCCTTGGTTACCTGGAAGCGTCGAGACGAGCTCGTCTGGGTGTGGATCCGGAATTGCGTCACCTAATCGCCTTCCACGTGGGTGAGTGGGAAATATAAATAAACCAAAACGAATAGCATCTCTTTATTTAATATCTGCAACAGTACTGTACAGTAGCAACAAGCAACGTTACACCAAAGTACCTAACCTGTACCAGCATCCCCTATAAATTTGATATATTCTTTTTCTCCTTATTCCTACCATTTTTTGGTCTTTCTCCTGAATTTCCACTAGAAGCATGCTACTAAATTTTAACTGCAATGCGGCGTACACCAAACTACGTACCTACCTTGTCGAAAAGGAATGCTTAACCGATTTCAATACCTTTTTGGGAAAGTCGCGATAGCATTACTGCTTTCCGATTGATATCTTACAGAGGTTAAAGAATTTACATGCACCTATATACAGATGGTACCTAGTCAAGTGTATATCGTACCTACATACAAAAATTCTCGCATGCCATACATATTTACCGTACACATATGATGCGCTTCAACAACGTCAAAGGAAAATATGAACTCTGAAACGTATACCCAAGCGTCATTAGGATTTCCGTGAGAAAGAAGCCAGATTGTGATATCGACTTTTATCGTCGCCTTCGATGTTATATCGATCATCAGTGAAAAAAAGCTACTCCATCGATTCCCTGTTCCATGGCTGATAATAAAGAGGACACTTTATAGCGGAAGCGTCCTCCCTCTTCCTTTTTCACGAGTTTCCTCGTTCACTCAAGTCTTAAATATATATAGTACAGATAGATACAGATAAGACGTTAGTCAAGATCAAATGATTGAATTTCTGTAAATTTCTTGCCATAATCGAGTCAGAATATTAGGGTAGGTACTGGAAGAGGTGGAAATTGAGTGTGGTCGATAGCTATGAGAATGAGAAAAATCGATAAAAGGAAGAAAAAAGTAAATGCGCTATGGTTGAGGGGAGGGGAGGGGGACGCTCCTTGCCAATTCTCATTGTCAAACTCAGCATTCCCCCTTTTGCTGAAATTCTACCCTTACTCTTACGTAATGGGTCCTTTAATGAAATACATTTTTCATCGATGCCTACGGCTGGTCTCGTGACTCTGAATTTATGCGTGGTCGCGAAAACTCCGTAGCTGGTTTATTGCTCTCTTTTTTTTTTTTGAAATACGGCTATTTTCTTTTGTATACCTGCTGATCGTTACTACGTGTATACATATATAGTATATCTGCCTCTCTGTCTGTTCAGCATGAATCTATATCTACTTAGGAGTTTCCTGTCTAGCAGTGAAACAGAAAAATAAACGTGGACAGGATCTAATAATACGGTACGAGACAAGCCATTTTCATTTTTTATCAAACCTGCCAATTCCTATTGTTCGAGACCCGTGGTAGATTCGTTTCTATTCCCTTGGACCTGTTCATTGATATTGGACCAATGTACAACTCATTGGTATTGTTTGGGAGAAAATTTTGATTAATTTATATACCAGTGTTGTTAAAAAGTATTGACGTAGTGGATTACGTTGACCCAGCATTGTGCCGTGCCAATACTTTTGACCAGCACTGTATAATATGTTCATACGCCAATGGCGTGTCACGTGATAAGTCGCATCGTGAATTCAAATTACCCGAACAATCAGTGAAATATTTTTAAAGAGTGTTATTGGCCATTTATCCGCAGTAACAATGGCTGCATGAAAATAGAATAAATAATTCACAACGAGAACAATATGTGGTACACACCTGTAGTACTCGGTTAAGGGAATGTTTTTGTTTCGAATAAAACGAAAATAGTTTTCATCCGAAATGCTGCCTTTTTAAAATTTTTTTTTCGTGAATCGTAGAATTTAACTTGTACTGGTTAAGCTCTAGAGCAATACAGATGTGAAATTAGTAATCGAATATAAAATTGCAAATCGTTCGCAATTAGTGGATATAAGATTCTTCATAAATGGAAAATCGCGAATCGTTACGATTTCGCGATTACGCAGTTTCTCATAGAAGAACAATTCGAGTAATTTGTAGGTAATATAATAGATTGCTGTATGATAACTTGGAAAAACATAACGGAGTAACTATCCTGTCTGCTGTGTAAAGAATTGCGACCATGTTTTCTGTCTTCTCTCAATTAAAAATCATCACGATATTACTCACTGTAGAACCGTTTCCATTTGTGCAATTAAAATGCACCACGTCGAACATGCCGCTCGACGTTGTTCGCGAATTTACTGGAGATTCGTGTTCTCGATTCTTTTTTTCTGCTTTCATTTGACTGATTTTGGTCAGGTCGAAAAAGGCAGAGGGAGTCAAATCGAGCACTGGGACAAAAAAAGAAATAATTGATTAAAAAGGTACGAAAAATCACGAGAACCGGAAAAACGCAATAAACTCCGTTTTACGGATTTGATGAGTGAAACTCGACAGTATGTATACGCGTAGAGGATAGTAGAAAGGAGTCATCTTGAGTTTTACAGTAATTTCCCGAAAATTGTCGGAAGACTTTCTGGAAATAACCTAAAAATCTAATATTGCAAGCCGTATTGCGTCACGGAGCAAGTGAATTTAGGAAAGAGAAAGAGAAAGAGATTAACTGCTTTAAAATGAAAAAGAGAGAAGAGTGAAAATTTAAAATCGTACAGGACAAAGCACATCCTATTTCCGGTCACTGCTTATTCAGCAGCACTCCACGCTCGGGCAGGTCTTACGTGTTAAAACAAGAGAATAAAAAAAAATAGATATATATACGCAATGAAAAAAAGGAACTTGAAAAAGGAAAACATGAAATGTGACAGAAACAGAAGAAAAGTCGAAAAAATATGGGCGAGCGTTAGGTTAGGAAGTTATGTTTGAAAAAAAAAAGAAGAGGGAAAGGACGCGTATAATATTGTCGTTAAGGTAAGGGAGCTCCAGTAGCAAGTTCCGGGAAGTTTGAAAAATGATCGAGCCATCCAGCTAGGTAACTCGAGTGGGCTCGATTCGGAAAGACTCATGCATAGATGTCACAGGAGGGGAACAAATGAAAACTATACCGATAGTGTAACTCGTGTGTAACCGTACTTCTCACAGTCGCCGCAGTTCTCGCCTGGCGCTAGTGAAGCGTGGCCATCGTCTCGTTATCGTTAAATCAATTAGGCAGAGTCGCGTACGAATATCTAACTAAAGTTAGCGAACCGTGCTGTGGCTTAACAAATTCTATTCTGACCATTTGGTTCCTACCAATTCTACCTAACCTATGTCAACCAGATACCATCGAGCCAGCGTTCCTGAGCGTGGGAGAGATAAGTAGGTTAGTCTGGCCTCTCAGTTCTCTACGTAGCCCACTAGTGCGCCGTGCGTTGTTTCAATGTCTGAAATTCTACTTCGGGACAGTTAATTGTTGTTTGTCCCACAAACAACGTCGTTGATTGTCTCTCGTGCCGGTTACATGCTTCTCTTCCTGCGTGGAGCAGACGCTGCCTCAGGCGCACATAACCTACACATGTACGAGGGAATCTCGTAACATACTAAGGATTTTTACTTTTGTAAGTACATATGCATTTTGCTATTTGTTAATATGAAAGCGTTTAGTTGACAGTTTATCAAATCTCTACGTAACCTCTTTGACTGGCTTGCTATTCCATTTTCTCAGTTTCTAGTCTTTTGCGAATTCTCCTCTGTTAACGTAATTGTATCTCGAGTACGTTATGATTGTACGTTAAAGAGTAAAGGAGAACCCTCAACGACCAGAAATTACCAAGGGAGTTAGAAACGCGATAATTAGCGTTTAACGTTGAGGCGTTAGTCGGTCGTTGTGCCCTAGCGTCGCGACGCCATTTACCCTCTCTGCTTTCCGTCTCTCATTTTCGAATTTTCGAAATTTCTCAGGAAACTCCATGGCGTACCGCTCGTTAGTGGTCATTACAGTTGCTAGCGACTACTTAATAGGGGAATTCACTTAAGTTGGGTCAGATGAGGATGGGATTGTTGACTGTTAAGACAAGATGGAGAATCTTCTACGGGAAGTCTGTTCAGTGTGTTTGGAACGTCGGGCTGTTACTTTACTACAGATTTTCTCAGTTTCCTCGACACTTCTCGTTTTGAAAGGATACTTCACCAGACTTCTATCTACGGAAGGAGGGGGGGGGGCATCGAGGTGGAAACTTTGAAGTTGTCAAGTTTCGTAGTTGAGGAGTTGACGTGTAAGTTGCTAGGGGCAATTGCAATGGCGGCGATGCGGTCCATAGAGAGTCTCCCGCGTGTAACCGGTCGCGGCAGGGGTTATGTAGCAAGTTAAGACCTGGTTGACTTGGACGGTCGGAAGTTGATGCAATTTCCGGTTGGGGGAAACGACCTCTAGTTTCTCCCGTAAGTTTGCCCCGAGGTACGAAGTCTTCTGGGACCTATTAGCAATTAGCGCGGTTACCACCAGTGTGTCTAAAGCCCTTACCGGGAATTTCGCGGATATTAAAACGGCGTCGAACATTGTCTTCCTGCCTTCTACCGTGTTGAATCCTAACCTGACAATCATTGCGAACTTATCGAATGTCGTCATCTTGGATTATTAACGATTACCCCTAGATTTTCGTGTCCCTAGAGAAATTTCCCCACTATTGCTAATCACAGATTACCAAGTATCTAATGTCAAACGTTTTATCTTGGTATTGCTGTAATAATTTTAAAAAAAATCGTTTTACTTCCAAAAAGCATTCTTTTACTCCCCTGGACATTGCCAGCCTCTTTTTTCCTCTCATTCTCATTACTCGTCTAAAAACAACTCTCACGGCATTACGTCAGCGGAATGATAAGCAGAATCGTTTTTACTTACTCTCGTATCCTTGCCCTCGTCCTCCACCTCGTCACTACCCCTGGATAAAACAGGCCCGTATCACGGAAAGTTCAAACAATAGTAGCGGCATTAATTATACGAGTTTTTACCCACGTGCTAGCTCACCCAGGAATTTTACTAGCCTATGGCTGCCTGGATAACCAGCACGCTTCGTTCTCAACTGGCTTTTCTGTATGCTGCTCTCTTCTATGGGGTAGCTCTCGGCATTCTAGCGAGCTAACTCTGAAAACTCGGGGTTTTCGTTGTACCAAAAAAAAAAAAAGTAGAGAGATACACAGTAGTTGACTGATAAACTAAACACTGTAAAATTTACAATGGTTATTTCCGTCGTGGCCAAAATTCTGAACGCAATCCTGTCGAGTTCACTTGATTAATAATAGACTGAATTACTTGTATTTCTACTACGTGCTTCTCTACCGGGAAAACTAGAGAGCAATGCAGGGACGGCGAAATATTCATTTAAAAATATTATACCTTCACAGAAACATAAAAAAATACGTAGAGAAGGCATAAAGAACACAGAGTAGAGTTAAAAGCAGTTTGGCGAGCTGGGTAAAGGGGAAGGCAAGGCTTGGAATTTTATTTCATTTTCAGCTCGTTTCAAACGTTTCGTTTTAGTTGTATAATAGTAGTAAGTCGCTTCGTAGTCACGCTATACTGTGGGACTGTATGCCAGTTCATAACAGTCGCAGTCGTTCACGTGCGGGTAAAGCTTGTGTAAACACAGCCCGGGCTCTCCAGGTCAGACGGCTTAAAATGGCGGCATCTACCGTTTCCTGGAACCTTTGTATTTTTCTAATATTGCCTTCGACAAGGCTTACCTATTTCTTGTGACGGTATAAACTGACTTAAAAAAATTTTCCTTGTTATTCCTGTGACATGAAATAATGCAAAATGGAAAATGGTCGTCATACAAACAAATACGCCATTTCATTAACGTATCGTTGTTATTTATTTAATGGAACCCTGTTTAATATTCCACAAACAAGCAGATTGCAGGTAAATAAATATAAACGGACGAGTATTACTATTATAATTTTCATTTTATTATGCTATATAGCCTGCTGCCTCTCACAATTATGTAAATTTTCAAAGCAGTCCGGAAATTGTTCATTTTCCACACTTTGAAATTCCCACCAGAAATTCAACGGACCCTTTATCCCTTACTGTGCATACCTTCCATGAATTTTCACGTACGTAATCCTTATCGCCCATTCGACCTATTAATACTGTTCCTTGGATCTGATAAATATTCCTGCTCAGACTATACAAGGATCGATTAATGGCGGATATATTTATTCTATCGAGAGAAGAGGTATTAAGGAATTTCAATACCTAAACTTTAAACGTATTGGATCGTTATCCCTTGGACGAATAGGGGAGAAAACAAATCGTAAAAGAACTTGATTCTACAACCTGACTTCGGAATTATTTTCATTTACGAAAACATTTAAGAGAAATCCTTAATTAAAGACATTTCGGTTGTGTATATACTTGGAAGTGATTACACCGCGTACCAAGGAACAATAAACTCCTATAAAGGAATACCAATATAAAATCCTAGCACCGAATGGGTAAACAAGAGTATATGTATATCACACGTGCGCATGCGCATCACACGAGAATTGGATTTTTCGAAAAATAATAAATCCAATAGTAGAAAAAACAATGTTATACATCACCCAGCGTGACGTCCCGAGTACAGTCTCCACGTGCGTATATATAGTAAGTGTAGAAAATTTGACTCGATTGAAAACGTTGCCAGGCTACGTGAAAACCAAGCAGTACATATTAATAACACGGGTGCGCGAGTGGCGTATTTGTCTGATACTAAAAACCCTCATTTTTCTCAAGTCAACTTACCAACGGAACGAACTGCAATATACCTCATGTTAAAAATAATGAAATATGGTAAAAACAAATATAACATTGTGCAAACTAAGAGATATTAAATGGTGCTTTCATTTTGATTTACAGGTCCAGCCAGCCCTCTGCCAGAACTCTTAGGCTATAGCAGGTGTGGTTATGCCCTCGTACTGAAAGGCTTGGTATTTCCGCAATGGAAGCGTCGACCTCTAGCTGTCATCGGTTCAAGACTGTTACTGTATCCCGGTAAGTGTATCCAAGTGAGTTCCAATATACATTATAGCCGTTCTGAAAGCTTGTGTCGTAGTCGAAGAATTTCTTTTTTGTCGAAAGGGGAGGAAAAAAAGAGATAGCAGCACCGAGGACGTCGATGGGTAAAAGGACAAAGGGAGCTGATGGACAAAAGAGTGAGAGGGGGGGGGAGGAGGTTACCGAAGGGGTACATAAGAGAGGTCAAGGTTCAATCAAGGTCTTCCTCGCGTTTGAGTGTATACATAGACTCCAGATGCCGGTCACAGAAATAGGATGGCGAATCAGGATACCTCAAACCCATCGTCCTCCAGGAATCCATGTAACACCCTCTGAGAGTCCCTCCAGCGTGTAGGTAAAATCCTGCTGGCTAAGCCACGTCATTTATCTACGTCCTGGCCTTATCCTTCCGGCGGAACCTCCACGCCATGGTCATGCGTGCGAATCGTGGATCAGGAATTCCTTGGAGCGAACGACTTATCCCTGGATGATTCCTTCGCGAACACCGATATCACTCCGCAGGAGCTAAGGATGCCTATGGCAGCGTGACCTAACCTGACCTTAATGTAAAGTCTGACGGTCTCTTTCCTTTGCTCCTAGTTTCTTAGAGGGATTACACCTCGTTCTTCTCACTCTCTTGTCTATGGCGAAATTCTCTCTCCTTCTTTTTTTTTTAACTGTGCTTAGCATCTTATTTACTGATCGGATTATAGTCGGTTTCCCTCTCCTCTTCTGACCTCTTCTATTCCTCACCCTTCACTGCAAGCTCACCCCACCAAACTTTTCTTGGGAGCTTAAGAAAGTTCAGACGGGCTTTTAAAGCCGGCAGGTGGCCTTCGAAAAATTCGATTGCCCAGCTTCTCATTTCGGCCAGGCAACTTCTTAACGCTCCTTGTAATTCTTTATTTTGTGCGAAAGTAACCTCCTTCATCGGTGATGTCATTATTGTCTTGTCTGAATTGTGCTAGGTTCCTTGATCTGTATTTTTTATTTTTTTGACTCTTTTGTATTATCTAATTACATTGTGCTCGAAATTGTTCATGGGTCGAGCCCAAATGGCAATTCTCTAAAGTCTCACATTGGTATGAAATAGGACAAGCTATATTAGGTTATGCTATAGACTCTGTATAATGTTAGAGTGGTATAGTATATTATCCTCTAACCCTATTGGTAACTCACCAGGAACCAACCAAAGGAAAGCCATAGTCCAGTTAATAGTATAATTTACCAGAACTTGACAGCGGTCAACTTCCTGTGATCTTTAACGACACAGATCTCGAATATACGCAATTACTAAAATCCTCCCTGAACGATAAACAATTTAAATTAATAACGTTCTCTGTAAACTGTCCAACTGACTTGGCAGAAATTCGCCTCGATCCGATTACCCCATGTATATCAATTCAGTCGAAATGCTGTGTCGATAATTCAAAGTCGAGCGGAGAGGAAAAAAAAACACCCGTTCGACCCTCTTCTCTGTGAAATAGAAACTTTCCCAAGAAACGAGGAGACTCCCAGGAGCGATTTCTCGTCACGAGGTTTGATACGACGTCGTTTCAACTTTTCTTTTTGGCTTCTTCTTTTCTCTTTTTATTCATATCGGTTTATCGAGCGGCAATATTTCTTTGCGCGAGTCGAGGGGATGATCTGTCCAGTCCCACAATGGAAAGTCACCCTTGTAAAGTACCTGGACAAACGATGGCACGTTCTATTGATATTCCAAATTTGCCCCAAAAAAATCACCCTCGCCAGCCTCCCCCCCCACAGGCATTTGTGACGCAACTACGAATTTTCATGAGCGCCATCTTTCGCGCCACGGATCATTATCTATTCCCTTTACGGTCAAACTTTCCCGGAGACACTTGAATGGCCCTGCGCATGCGCAACCGCGCTCGAAAGCGTCACGCCTTAATACGAAATTTATTTAATTGTCATAGAATTGCCCGTGGCATACCGATCGTTCAACGAATCGGAACCATTAGGCATTTCAGTTGAATAGTTCACCGATAACACGTAAGAGGGTACTCTCGAACAGTTCCGCTTTCTGCCGCTGGCACAGCAGCGCCTTCCTAACGGCAATTTCAAATTCAAATCTAGATAACCCACGTTCACGTTCTAACACGAAACCTGCACAGAGTGAATAATGAATCCTGATGAAGTCTCCAAGTCGATTATGCTCGCAGGAATGGCGACTAATTTTCCGAAGTACGATATTACCGTATATGACGTCACACGCTAACCGTTCATCCCGGCAAGTGGTCTCGCGGGACACGTTCGTCCCATATCCTCAAGTCTTTAGAATGATCTACGACTCTTACTTCGCGCTCCTTCATAATCTTCGTTCGCCGATCGTTGTTTTATAATTTGAAAATTCTTCGCGAACCGTACCGCCATCTGTGCACAAGAACTACAACTACTGGTAAACTTAAATGCTTATGTGATTACCATTGCGATTTCATTTCAACGAGCGCCCACTCTCGTAAGCTTGTCTTTCGTGCCAAAGGATTACATCAGCTGCGGTACACTCGGCGCATTTACTTCTGCTAGCACTAGTATCGCTGGTACCACTAATACCACTCGATGAATACCAGAATGGACCTAGGATCCTTATAAATCCTTGTTCCCCTGTCGTTTCAACAATCATTCCTTGCGAGTACATGCAATGCAAAAATTAGATAAAGGAACAAAAAAGTCGGTGGCTCTTCTTGCGTCACATTGAATACCTCGTTGACGATAGGTCACGAGAGGCTTGTATAGATATCGAATATATAATAATAACAAGGATAACAATAATCGATCGATACCATCTTCAATTTGTACAGCACTTGAATATACATATACATATAAGTTTCAATTTGTCCAATTATTCAAAATTCACGACCATTGGAAATAGCATCCGTAGTACAATGAATTCAAGTAGGGTGACACCTAACGAGGAAGATAGATATTATTTATTATCAATTCGAGTGAATATGCACGTCCGTCCTTGTCTTACTTGCGCGAGTGCCCGTAAGTCCCTCTCTCTCCCACTCAGGTAGAATGTAGAAAAGTTGGAAAATGTCGGAGAATTTAAAAAAAATTTATTTCTCTTTCGATAGCGACCAATTGATTTTGGACTAAAGGGAAAATTCAATATCTACAATTTTCTGCCATTCTTGACTCGACTAATGCGTTCGATTTACATCATACTGTACATATATGCAATGCCTATCTCGGGAGACTTGTCATCCATCATATTGCCTCTGTTATTCCGACCTCCGGGTAGTAACCAGTTATGCTAATATCGTCATGTGAACGTTTTTCAGCGACCCCCAATTCGCGACCGGAATGGATGGAGCTCGGTGGAGGTGGTGGTGCTGTTTGCTACGCACCCTCCAGAATTGGCAAATTGGTTTTACGAGTAACCGGCTTCCCAAGGATAACGCAGCAGACGTCGCAGACCGATGAATATCGAATCGATGCTCATCATCAGGAAACAAGACATCTGTACCTTGGTTTCCATCATCCCTGGGACCGGGATCTTTGGCGCGGTTGGCTCAAGCAGGTAACGTTGTCTACGCAGTTTTAGATAAGTAGATAAGAAGATGGCTCCTGGTTGGTAACCTAAAGTGGATGACGCCTGAAACCACTCCACCAATAATTTTGAGAGGACTTACCAGGGACGGAAGATCAAAGACCATATTTTCATGGGAATTTATTCTGAGGTCGAGAAGTGTCAAGTGAGGAGGAACGGAGAGGAGAATTTTGATTTTCGTGCTAGCTTCTTAACCATCTAAGAGTTTACCAGTCGTTTACCAAGTTTACGAAAGCTTGAGAAATTAAGGACCTGGCTTTTAGGATGAGATCAGTCAATTTTTCATGACTTTCGCGATGACGCGCTAAATGACCAAAATGGAGCTGGAATTAAATGTAGTATTTAGGTGAACGTAAAAAATTCAAACTATCTCTTCTTCGCACAGCCAGAAACCTCACCGTCGCATCAACTGAACCAGGTACTAGGATTGCGGGAAATTTCATCGGGCCAGTTCTGTATGTTCATAGGGAAAATTATGGTAGGCTCCTACGTGCAAGCTCGTTCAACCCTCGTGCACATCCAATGATGAATGCTCTATTCATATAATACAGAGAATCCATGCGATAGACGATTATACCTATACATATGTGCACACCTAATAGCAACCTACTATACCTACGATAGAGTAAAGCAAAATCAGAAAACTACCTCTGATACCCTATCAACCCATACCCAATATAGTTCCTGCCAATTTCCCGTTGAAACGCGTTAGTCTCCTCGTACAGTATTAACTGTAATATTCCGTATATACATACACAGAGTCCTGTGTAAATGATCAGACTATACGTAGACACATAATACAGATCCATCGGTCTATCAGGCTATGTAATATCCAATATGCAAATGCTACAATCTATGGATAAGACTAAACTATTTTGATGCTCATTAATGCGAACGCATTAAAGGGACCCCCGCCATTACGTTGAAACACGACCGTCGACACGGCAGCTCTGTAGTCGCGAATAAGCTTATACTCCTAGCTGGATTACATCCTGGTGCTAACAGGAGACACGAATTTGGTTTTAGTCCTGACAACGGACCGGATGGATACATGCGATGTCCTTTGGCTCACCGCACTGACAATCAGACGTACTAGACACTCATTAATCATTTGTACGTTTGGTATTGCTAATAGATATCTGTACCGACTAGGCCAGTTGCTAGCATTGCATAGAAGCTTCGAGCAACTTCCACCAGCTACGGGGAGAGCGCTGGCGGTTTCGATAGTCCATGGTAGTGTATCTGTATCAGGTAGCATGGTCTTTGCTGCCAGTCACTCCGTGTGTCCCGATGGGTACGAGTTACGTGGTGACAATGAGTTTATGTTATGCAGAGTCTATCTTGTTTGCAGTGTTCTGGATATCGTGTTTGTAATATCTGACTGTCCTGAATGCTTTTGATAATCTGAATGTTCGTGTACACAACCCTTGTAATATATTTCCTCGGAATCGTTGTTACGAATAGAAATCCCAGCTGTCGCCACGCGTGATGGCGTCCACGTTTACCACCCGTGACTCTAGCATGTAATCGGCTGTATTTGCATTAACAGCGACGGGCCGTTTTCTGACGTGATTCTTATATTTTCTGCCGTGAAAATATCTTTCATTCAGTATATTTCTCTTTTTTCACTCCCTTCTCTCCGTTCCTTGTTTCGCTACTCCTTACGGCCATTCGCGAGCCGTCATCTTTGCAGGCCGGATCTTGGATCGGAACGATGAAAAACGAGCCCGAGAATAAAGGCGGAGCACAGCTTCCAGGCTGATGCAAACATGGCTTAAAGGCGCAGCCTCCTATATAAATCATCTCCGGGAAACTTTAATAACCAAACGCGTAAACCTAGAGGAGTTGGAAATATTCCCTTGCTAGTTCAAAGACTGATTCGCTAAACTCTCTGGGGCAGAACCCTGAGACTTTACGATACTTGGGTAACAAAACTTGTCTAGTCTTTTTTCTTTTGTACGATACTCGCAAGCGGATTATTCATTCGTTGCTGCATGTTCTATTATAGAAAAGGAATCTAATGCAAGAATACCCCATAGGTAATATTACTGAGCACCAAATAAAGGCAAGTTTACACGAGTCGACAACCACTTAAATATTGATCTTGAAAAGATTTCTTCTTGGAAGGACTCGTTACATAATGGATGTCAATAAGACGAGAGTAAAAAAGAAAGTCCAAGGGAAGGAAGAAAGGAGAAACCATCATCCGCAGGATGCGAACGGAACTCTGTGTGCCTTGTCAGCGTCCTGCGTATATGTATTGGGAACATGGCGACGGTACTCGTGGATTCCCCGTTGTTCCCCGTTGTATCTCTCAAAACTCGTGGAAGGTTACGGCACCAGGTGTCTGGGCTTCCCGGTAGACATTAGTGATATTAGCAGCCAGACGTTGTGATTTATGAAACGGCTTATAGTACTCATCTTCACTTGTATTATTGTATGTACGTAACGTACGTTGGATTTAGAGATATTACAGTTAGTTTCAATGTTTTGTCCATTTAAGATATCTCATAGCTGTATTTGAAGAATATACGAATTTACTACACAATGGCGGAGTACAACAATGGCTGCTGATACGTGCTTTGCTTCTTTATGGTACTTTTTTTTATGTCGACTTTCACAAACTCAGGCTCAACCTACGCTTGCTGAAACGATACAGGAAAGAAAGTTGATCGTACGGGACTGGTTGGATTTTCGTAAAACTTACTTCATCCCCCTTGCGTTGGAACGGTGTGGATCAGAATAAAGTAAACCTTCTCTTGTTTACGAGGTACAGCGTGGCGGCTTTATTAGACCCTACCGAGCTCAGACCAGATCAGACTGGATTAGTTTCTATTTTTTTTTTATTTCCCAATGGAACTAAACGACGATCGTAATTTCTGTGAAAATAATTCAGCAGTAGACGAGCCGACTCGTAAATAAGGGCGAGGGTTGTGAAACTGACATTAATTTATGAAATTCGACAGAGGATGGACGGTGAAATTAGGATCGTCAAAATCGCACCGTTTCTTTTAGCGATAATATCTGAAAATTTTTTTTTGCGCGTTGTGCGTGTAATCTTTAGGATTACGTTTATATATTTTGTTCCACGCTTTTTTTTTATCTTTATTTTTTTTATTTTCCTGAAATTGATGTTCACGATGATAAAGGTTGTCGAATATTTTTATTTATTTATAACCATTACAGACCGTTATTATCTAGTAATGGCATTAGCAGGTGTACCAATACACATTCAATTTCGTAAGGGTTGCCATCATACTGAAATATAATCCTGCCTAATGTACTAAGTTCAATTCCGATCGTGTCGTGCGACATGGGTTTAGAGTAAAGCTCGGATTTCTCGCGAATAGCCTATTTTCCATTTATCGAGAATTTCCCCGTGCTAAACCTTTTTTCCGATCTTGGTAATCAAAGGTATAGCTGAGTAAGAAGAATAGGAAAACAAAGTTGGAAACATACTTTTTTTTCGGAATAGAAAAGAGAGGTGGGGCTCGAATTGCTAATTTACGAACCTCGTAATTGAAGTGGTCGACCCTGCAAAAGGGGGGAGCAGAGTTTCAGACTGCTCGTTCACGCTCCATGGACATCCATGAATTACAAGTTTCATAATTCATAGTGGCCGTGGTGAGTTCATCGATTTAAAAGCTCCCGCTTACAACCGTGAATGCCGACGCCGTCGAGAAACGGAAACACAAAAGTCTATCTGCCACCGTGTATTTATATCTCTGTTAAGCAAATTATCCTGCGGCCAAATAACCTCCCTAATTTCATCCTGAATCTACACGAAATAATGACACAAATATTTTAGCAACCGTCACGGGATAGAGGCTACGAAAAGATAATACAGATGGCAGCACCGTCGCTTCCTTCCAGCGGTATTATTAGAACCTGACATTGTAATCGTACAGTGCACCATAGAAAACGCGTCGAGCGGTGGCACAGTCTGGATTTCTGGGTTATTGTCAACTTTCGTGACACACTTTGAAATCACTAGATTTTGGCGAGCAAACGAAACGAAAATTTCCTCTCGAACGCGGCAACTTCACTCTTCGTTGGGACAAAGAGGACGGATCAGAGTTAACACGCATACACTATAAGACCCTGATAGTACGTTAGACACACTGATGGCGGCGCCACCGGTGGACACGTTTCCCATGATGCATCGCAGGCTTAGAATATCTGTTACTACAATACCTTATCCTCGAGCCAATCAGAAGCGACGACGATATAGCCCGGATTTGCGTTATTTAAATCGTTATACCAGCGAGAATCGATATTCAATGGCCGTCGGGTTTTGTAGAGAATCGACGAAACATCTCTACGGATTCGTTTCGATTTATTCACGACAGAGCTATTCGTCATCAGGCTTTAGAGGTTAATCCCAGGCAGGTTCTCGTAGCTACCGTGATATGCGTAACGGGGGGCGCTGCCAACGTTTCCCCACGTACAACTGCCCACCTCCACAACCCGTATCTACCCTGTCAATTCTCCCACTCGATTTTCCAATTCAAACACCATTCCCCCATTTTGACTTTTTCCAACGCCGCTCCGCAGACCGAATAATTCCAATCAATCCCCTCTGCCGCGTGATCTAAACTGCAAGGGAAACAAGCGTGAAAACGAGTTACCAATTTTTTTTTTTCATCTCCAACGTCTCCCACCATTCCTATTACATTCACTATGTAAAATTCATTTGCCCCAGCATCAAAATATTCCTGCATCATCTCCAGCTGCTCGTCCCTTCTAAATCAACAGTTGACCCCAGCTCACCTGCCAACGACTAAACCCATCCACTGTCTGGAGGGTACCGGACCTGTCTCTCTCACTCCTGGAGGATACCTACCACGGAAAGTGCAATATAATATTGTTCCAGGAGTTTGGATAGTTACCAGAAACCCCCCCGGTGCCACGTACCTACTACCAGTCGACTTCAGAAGTTTAATTAAACTTTATTTACGGCTATGTTTCACTGCTCTCTACGACCGTCACTCTCATCCTTCCACGACCTTCAATTTAACTCACTGTAACCCGACCGGCTGAACTCTTAACAAGTACGTACGTATTTCTATATTTAAATCCTTCATCGATACTTCACTAATATCTTTCAACTAACCTCTTCAACAGCCACAAACCGTCTCTCTTATGCCCTTCGCTACCATCTCAGCTCAACCTCCATTTCCAGCGAACGTCCCCCACTCGTTCCACTTAAATAAATGTATGTATGCAGCTCTGGAAGAACCTTCCGCTATTGGCGTTGCACTTCTCTATGCAGTGCCGTATGTCTATACTTGTATGCGCAGGTGCACTGTAACACGTAAATACATGCACCTTATCGCGGACTCCACGGTAAACGAGCTCTGGCTAGAAACGAGACTTTAAGATGCAAACTCCTTGAGGTGAGCGATCGTAAAATGGTTCCTACTGGGAAGAAGGAAAACTTACTGCTCCGCGGTGGTTTCCTTTGGCTTTTCTACTATTCTATTTATATATTGAGAGAAAACCGTACCATTCAAACTCATCGCTCAGATCTAACAGTTTTCCAATATTATTTTTCAAAGGTTGAAATATATATATATATATATATATATTGCACTGAATTGGTATTATCGCCACTGGACTCCGATCCTCAGTAACTGTATTTCACTTATAGCATAATAAAGTAATGACACCCTGAACCGTTAGGACTTCCCATCAGTCTCGTCAGAGACGACTGCCAAGCACGCAAAATAATTTCCTAAATTGCCCATTAAGCGTTTCCTCTGTGTGGACAGTGATATTGCGTAATATTACAACAGTAATATGCATTATTCCTCATAAATCCCACGGAAGATGGAGACACTGTACTTTAATGTAAAACTTTTTGAAATTTTTATATTCTTCTTTTTTTTATTCCATCAAAATACATGACGCTTACGTCACGGCTACCAACTGCTACTGTCACTACTGTTACAGCTAGTTCCTTACGTCATTAACCTGATACCTGTTATTAACGTGGGGAACCCTATCATTTACTTGACACTTCATGTCAACACTAGTCTACCCCTATAGCTTTACTGTGTACCGACCGACCCGTTAGGCCATTTTCTTTGCAAGGTCGTTCATAGGGATACCAAACGTTACGTAGAGCTCCAGAAATTTTTTCATTTTTTTTTTTACATTTTTTAAAAATAGGAACTTATATGAAGATTGAAAGTCGGAAAATCCTTGGCTGTGTATTCCGCTCTTTTTTTTCACTTCCCTTTTCCGTTTTTTTTTTTTTTCAACGACCACTCCCCTTTCATTCTCTCGAAGGTCCTCTCGGTGGTTGGTTGCGATGTGAATTCTGTCACGGTGAGAAAGAAGTTGCGCAACTGTAAGCAGCGAGCGTGTCTTCCGGTTTACGTGCCACGAGACACACGACAAACTCCAGTTCGCCAGTAAAGTGTCGACTCTCGTGGCAAAATCTCTCGAAAGGGATCCCTGTACCAGAGTGAGAGAGAGAATAATCGATATGTGACACACACACACATATATATATATATATATATATATATAATAATAATACAATAGAAAAAGAGAGAGATAGGTTATAATTTAAAGTATACCAAAAAAAAAAAAAAAAAAAGTATTGTGCGAGAGAGAAAATTTTTTTTAAGTGAAATGTGAATTTATGTCAATTTTCTTAACCTATTCAACTAACACGTACCGGGTATACAAGCTCGTGCGAATATTTGCGAGAAATTGCGAGTACAATAAACGGCTAACACTAGCAATTAATTAAACTGTCGATTCGAGGCGGTAAAAACGACGTGTGTAATTAATTAAGCCATCGATCCAATCTGCTGCTTTCGCTCCGGCATACTTCGCTCCCCGCCGCCCCTCTCCCATTGACTGTCTATAACCAACAGAATGGTTATGTCGGTATACCTATACAGTATACTACACCGTACTCTCATACGCAACACGTCAGAGCCCTTTAATTAATCACACGATAATAGCCAGGAGTATCGTGCGTTAATCGTATCAATCGATTACGTAACACGGGCGATGTTCTTTCATTGGAATATTCGGAGTGAGCGAGAGAAGAACGTGAGACAGTAAAGGACAATCAAGCCCACGGAGGATGTATGAGAAAAAATTCAACGTACTCATTGATCAAGAGACTCTCGGAAAACGTAGCCCAGGCTTTTGCTAACGAGCAGAATTCAAGAGGGACAAATTTCTAGGATACCAATTACTTCCGGTTTACATAAACAAAAAGCTGTACTTGGCGTACCCTTGTATCTGTATTACAATCAAAGTTATAAGAGGAACAGATTCGTACTCCGTACGAGACGTAATGATTTCGACAAGCGAAGCGAAATTCAACGATCAGAGTATTGTGAGGTCAGGGGCCGAGCTCTACTTGGCAAGAGCATGAGACGAAGGATCCTGAGGGTGAAGCTGCGCCGAGGGATGATGCTGATAGAAGGGATGAGAAAAAAGGAAAAAAAGAACATTGAGGAACGAAAACTCTTCACCATATTTCACGCGCCTCATTAAAGTCTATTGAAAGTTTAGACTGGTCTGTATAGATATATATAGAGAGGAAGGACTGCTGCGTCTTGGAGTAAAATTTATATCGTGTGAATCTGCCTTTTTATCTATTGAGACTGACTGGAGACGAAGCTGCATTGTTTACTGTGTATGGATCTTGAATTTTTTTTAATTCTATTTAAACAGCTCGGGGAGCATCGGGGTCCTGTATTTTTTTGGAAGACCTGGGGCGGGGAGAGGCTGCATCTCCTTACTGTTGTCACTGTTTACGAAGTGAAGATTCTCATCGATGATCTTTTTCCTATTCCTTTCACCTAACCTCATTTATTTATTTTGCACCCTAACCTATTTGCTTCCTTTTTCCTTACAGCCATGGGTCCCGGGCTACTCCCTTGCGGATGGCTGAACGATAAATTTCACAAGCGACGTTAAAGCAGGACGCCCAGGAGGAGATCTGGCTGGTAAGGACAAGACAAAGGACGCATTGGAACGTATCCGGGAAGGATCTTGCTTTCTCTTTATCACTGGGCGACGAACGGTGTAGTGCTGAATGGAAATAGATAAGAAAGGGAAAAGTATAAAGGAAGAGTTCAAGGAGGACATACGCACGTTTCAAGACTATCGAACGTATCTTAGGCGCATCAGCGGTGAACTGGTTAATCGGATGGAGTTGATTTTCCCTCTTGAATCAACCTGGCAGAGAGTCCTGATACCCTGACGTCACTGGTCAATGTCTCTGTGCGATAAAGGAAATGCAAAAGGTGGATAAATAAATGGAACGTAAGACAGGATCTTCTGGAACCTATACAGGAACGTATCTTTGTAGCCTGGTGGACCCATGGAGGAAGACGCCAAGTTACTGACGTAATTTATTGGCGACCGTATATCCTTGGCTAAGGAACGACCACGACGAGTTCTCCTCTCACGATACTCTTCTTCTGGTTCTTCGGACACTTTACCAGCAGTGAACAGCGCGATAAAATCACATATGGGGCTTGTGTGTTATGTTTGTGTACGCGGTTGTTGTATGCTGTGTGTGGACTGTGTATATATAGTCCTTTGTATACCGTGAAGCTTTCCTTATCCTTGTGACCTGGACACCCCAGGATATTAATCGGTAGCGGCTTCTCCAAGAGCAATAACTGTCTTGGCTATGTGAATATCCTTGAACATGGTTCATATTGGTAATCTGGTAGCTATCATGGAGGAGCACGATCTGGATAAGGATACACTGGAGACAGACTCCTTGGAGATAGAGGTGACAGACCTTGGGAAAACAGAGAATGTGGAGTTTTATTTTTTTTTATTATATATGAAATTCAGTTTTTATTAGAAATGTCTTTTTTAATTGATTAGTCAAGTTTTTGTGTTGTCTTTAATTTCTTTTATTTATTCTGTTTCTTTTTCTGTTTCTCATAGGCTACTCAACTGAATGCATGTCCCAGAAGACTCGATCTGAGCAAAGGTGGACTCTCCAGGATCCCAGACAGTGTGGTTGCCTTCCCAGTTATTGAGGAGATCTTCCTGGGACAGAATCAATTGGCGAATCATGACAGTAATCTTGGTATCTTGCAAAGGTATTATTTGGCAATGAATTGGCAATCTTGTCGAAAGGACTTTATGGGAGTTATTTTTTGCTTCGAAAGCATCCCTTCGTAGGCATTGTTGTTACAAGTTACTGCGGAGTGAGAAAAGGACCTTTGAAACTTTTGACATATGTTTAAGGAATTTTTGTTAAATTCCATAACGCAGTCTCATGTCTCATGAAGTAATTTTTGAGGATATACTGTGAAATTAAATTGTAGACCATTGATAATTATAGAGAGGTATAAATTTCCCTATGAAATGTATGATCTAATTTGGTAGAGTATATGAATTATTTATAACGGACTGATCAAAAGTCCCGTTTTTCAAATTATACTTAATTAGACGAATTTCAAAGCTAATCAGCAATTATAATTGTCGAAGAAAAAAAATAGTACGTAAAAATATAGCGCAGAAACGTACAATCAGAAGGCAGAGAAAAAATTGTACGAACGAAAGTAAAATCAGAAAGGAAATGACTTTTTGGATTATGAAAAGGAATATGTAAATAAGCAAAATCAATTAATATTTTACAAGCACTATTTAAATAAACATTTCGAACTTAATGAACTCTTTCGAAAGTGGCACATCGGTTCTTTTAATTGCACGCAAAACAGAGTGAATCACCAATAGCACGTAAATGTATTGAATTTAATTACTCCGATGGCGAAAGGGTTAATCCAATTAACCTAAAAGGCATGTTAGTACGAAGAAATAGTAAAAAAAATTTTAATCACAAATAAATTAAAGGAAGTTGGGACATAAATAACTGATTTCAACAATTAAAATTTGTATTTTATTATTCCTTAAAATTAATTCAAAAGTTTTTCAATTCTACGACCATTCGCGCGAATATAATAAAAAATCAATTTGTAATATCACACATGGCTTTATACACAAAAAAAGAGCCCATAACATCCAATTTCACTATTTCTCATCAATCACTAATGACGTCCAATAAATCATTTCAATATTGACATCGACAGATTTCCACGACTGAGCGCCGTTAAGTTGCAAGCAAACGCTCTACGAGTCGTCCCAAGGGAATTGCTGGAGCTACGACAACTGACGAGTCTGGATCTGTCTGACAATAACATCGAGGAATTATCGGGAGAGATAATTCGTCTTGGAAGGTATGTAGAATGGTTATAAATTAAAATACTAATAACAAGAAAACCGAAAAAAGAGCTGCTAAGGCGTTTAAACCGTCGCGCTATAAAACAGATCAGATTGTAAAAAGCCATAAGGTTGGCAGGCATTCTCATTAAATTCGTTTCGTCATGTTTTCCCCTTCACGGTCCAAAACCGAAATTACATACGTCCGTGGCTGAGCGCGAAAACATAAATTAATGCGAGCAAAGCTATGAATGCGCAAAACAGAAACGAATTCCGAGCGTAAACGTGAAATAAATGGTCGGGATTAATTATTATGGATGCGAGCAGTAGGTAGGAGTCGGTATACGTATATTGTACATTGCCGTTAGATAGAAGCCTCGATGTTCACAGAAGCGTCCTTTAGCTAAATAAACAATTAATTATATTAATCGAACGTAAAGTAACGTCTGTAATTAAATTGAAACAATTAGTTATAAACTAAATATTTAAATTGATGTTAGGATTGCATCAGAACGCTGACAAAATATCACGGGACACATATTATTTCCAGTCCAATTTTACGAGTCAGGTTCCATTTTGCTTTATAAACAAACGCCAAGTCTATCTCCATATAAAAAATCTAACTCACAAATCATCCCTCAATTAAGGGATATCGAAGTATCGAATATTATTTGCAACCTGCGCTTGAATTTCAACCGCCGTGTTCCCCACCCTTGGCGCTTCTCATTGATTAAAACGAACGGTCGACCATTATTCATCGGTTTTCCGAACGCCGGGCTATTTGTAGCGAGGACTTAGCATTAATTTGCTGTTATAAACTCTTGAAAATTTATTGTTAATACTCAAACTGATTTTCTACATATACCCCCATGAAATATGTTTGTCAGGTCTGCATACCGCTATAATTATCCGGACCTGTCAATGAATCCGCTACAGTTGTATCCACCCCGTGAAGGTTCCTCAGTCACGAAGTTTCCTTTCGAAAACTGCTTTCCAGTGGATGTCAGACAGAAGGAACTACGCTCTGAAGTTGCGCGAATGGCACACGCGAGCAAAACACTCTCTAGCGATTAAGCAAGAGCGATAGCGACTGTTTTAGTTGTGTATTAGATGCACTAGGTATACCACCTATATAGACTATAGTAATAGTGAAAATGGACATACACATAATCACGTGGTATATATCGTAATTTCTTACCCGATGTAAAATGAACTCTCGACTTTACATGGGCATTCACTTTGAAATGGCATAGTACAACTGAGAGCGATCGTTATCGCATCCATTCTCTCGCAACTCCTCATTGTCAGTTGTTTCAACGATATCCACGAATCTACATACATATAAAGGAATATCGAAGTACAATCCACTTATGAGCTGTGCGTAAGACAAAGAGGTTAAGGCAGGAATTTCAACGGCTATTATTAGATTCCTCTTCCTCTGTCAAACGGCGACGGACAGAGTCCGCCATCTTGGTTGGTTAAACCCGAAGAAAGTTGGCGATCGCGAAGTCATTGGGGCATGTCGTATCGTTGGCACAGTGGAGATTACTAGGAGTGAACCACCGGTAACTGGTAACTGGTAACTGGTAACTGGTAACTGCTAACTACCAACTCAGCCACGTAGCACGCGATATGCATTATACAAGTCTCGCTCGGTGGCGTCTCTTGTAAAGGCGGCTAATTTCATTCTGTTACATCAGACTGGTCAGCCGAGCGATTCCGCCTTCGGCTGGAGTCGGCTTTCTTCGGTAGGATTGACCAGTCGCGCGTACTTCAGTTCTTGTTTAAACTTCGCCGGATGTAGCTGCGTTTTGAGGATCGTCTTGAAAAAAGTAATGAAAATTTAATTGTGCTTGGCTGATGAGGTTATTTTTCATATTTTCGTCATAGTATTACGTCCCGTCGAATCGGACGTTAACCTACTGACACGATAAATGCTGTGAATATACAGAATGGTTTACCTGTCTCTTCTGTTGACTGTACTTGGCGACACGCCGAGATGCCGCTCGGGATAATTAAAAGGAACTCACCGGGACATTAGTATCATGATCGGTCGATAAGGGTAACCCACATATTCAAACGCGTGTCGACGATTAAATCGTCAGTGAATTATTTTACTTTTTTTTGTAGCTCTTGAACACTCTTTTTATCGGATTTTACCTCTCTCTGCGTTACTCAGTCTTTTGTTGTCTGCTCAAGAAGTACGTGCACTGTGGTTAGGTTAACTGGGGGTTTGCTCGTTTGTTTGACATTCTTTAGTGTCGTTTTGAGAATTTTCTATGCAAGGGCTACGTGCAGAGTGCGGTACTGTCGGATTATGTGTTATGATTAAATCTTGAAAAGTTTGTGTGCTCACCAGGAATACGTGAAACGAGGTTTTCTCTATTTCTCTATAATTCTGAGCTTTCTTAGCCCCTGTACATCCTGTGGGCGGTTCTATTGTATGGTTCACTGCTTCGGTTACTTACTTCTTCAGAATGGACTTGACTGTATACAGTATAGGAGACGCTTGTTCTTACTGTTGCTTTATGCGTTCAGATATGACTGAATGCAACTGTATGAGAGTGGGTAGTTCTGTGTGTAGATGAAAAAAGGAAAAGAATATCGGCGGGGTTTCCTTTCTTGCGAACAATAGAACCCTCTGTGTCCTTGGATGAGTTGAAGAAAAGCGGGATAGAGTCAGAAGGAATTGGAAGTGAGATACGGAAGGGGTCTCGCTTGGATTTTACTCTTTGTTATGATCTTCATTCTGAAATTATTTAAGACGTTGGTAAAATATAATTATTTTGTTTGTACAGCCTTAAGGAATTGATACTCGATCGAAATGGACTTAAGGATGTGCCAGATGAAGTTGGACAATTGAAGCATCTTCGATATATCTCTCTGGCTGGGAATCAACTCAGTGCTTTGCCATCATTTCTCGACATGCGAGCTCTTGCACTTACGGTAAGTGGCGCATTTGAAATATTAGAAAAGATAACAGCCGTAAAGGAGAGGAGATAACGTAGTTCAGTGATTATCATCTTCACAGATGATACTACGTTAAAATTATACAGTGTCGATGTACGAAGTGTATATTTTATTTTTATATTTCGTTCACGACCCAGCTTGCGCCGGGCACACAAAAAATTAGTTTATAGACTCATCAATTGTTCCCCTCCACGGAAATCTTTAGTAAAAGGCGAAAGATTTATGCGTATTTTGAAGGGAAACCAGAGTAACGTTTACTGTTATTGTAACACGTTATATCGTATCGAAGCGCGTATTTGGAAGCGAGAAAGTAGCGACTCGTGCGCCACCTAGTGACATCCGTTAGAACTTTAATGTAGCTCTAATCCTCAAAGCTTCCTCGAGTCACCCTTAGAGCTAAAGATACTAAAGAAAATTTAAATGAGTTTATAATTTTATAATTATCTTCCATAAGACACGATTTAAAACTTTCAATAGATTCCACAATGTAAGTAAAAAAAAACATGATTTAGACTTTTTTTCTTGAATATAATCAATTTTATGTACCTTGGAAAAAATATGAAAAAAAAATACCATGTTTTTAATTCCTTACCATTCATTGTTGTCGAATAGGACTTATAATTCAAGAAAAATGTCTTTTGGTATAATCGTTTCTTCCAGTTCAGAATAAAATTTTAAAAACTTGTTTTATACTGTTCAGTTGCAGCATCCCAGTCGCATGTAACACCAATACACTTTAAACCTATAGAATTATTTGATATTCACGCGAAATAAATATTTCTTGATATTTTAATCATAAAATCGGTACATTCTCACAACAGGAAGTGCATCCGAGGAGCGACCACGGGAAAAGCAATCGCAGGGATGATAGAAACAGCTATCAGAACTTGCAGAGAGTGAATCTGAGAAACAATCAACTGAAAGGAAGCATAATTCTTGGCAATTATGGGGTAAGCAATTGAAAACAATTGTTCTGACAATTATTTAATGAATAATATTAATCAAGTACCATCACGAGACTCTCATACATCTCAATCGTAGAATCTAACACATCTGGACGTCAGCGAGAACAATATCGAGCGTCTGGACGTCGGAGCTCTGGAAGAATTGCAAAGCGTTCGATGCGCCAGGAACATCCTCACCGAATTGACCTTATGCGGAAAGAACCTGGTGTCCCTGATCGCTGGAAACAACAGTAGGCATAATTAGTTTAATTATCAATATTTGAAAAACAATCCATAGAAGGTAAAATTCATATTTTCTTTCAGAATTAAAAAAATTAATTATCGAGCCCATCCCCACGAATTTGGAACATCTAGACATCTCCTAGTAAGTGAACAACTAACCGGACGTAACAGAAATCGCAGGGGTTCTAATTAGTTTACTTTTCATTAACGTTAACATTTCTTTTTTCTATCTAACCTTTTTATTTTTAGTAACGCCCTAGATGCTCTTCCGGAATGGACACCCGACCTTCCTGTTTTACGGGCCCTTTTTGCTTCCCACAATGCTCTGACGGCACTTCCGGATAGACTCCTGTCGCAACCCTCGAGACTCGAGGTCCTCCACTTACCACACAACAGATTACAGGCTCTACCACCTCCCAGGAGACCTTTGAACGTCGTCCATCTGACTCTACAAGGAAATTCCCTAACTGCCTTGCCAATGAGTTTCTTCGCGTATACGGAAAGGTTAGTCGTCTCTGCGGAAGGTACGAAACTCGGTATTAAACGGAGCTATGTGTTTTCTGTCTTTAATGAAGGTTGAAGGTACTGAACCTTTCTAACAATCGACTCTCTGAATTACCCTGTAATGACGAATCCACCAAAGCTACTATTGGCGAGGGTACTCCTTGTCTGGAGAAGCTTTATCTCACTGGAAATTGTTTAACTGACACTGCCCTGGACGCTCTCGCTAGATTAAAGGATCTACGCGTTCTTCATATAGCATATAATACATTGGATACCTTACCAGAAAGGTTAGTGAATTTATTGCATAGGATAGGATAGGGCGGTAGATCGAGCATCTCTTTAATCGACGATTCTTGCCCTGGAATATTTTTTTTTTTTTTAAGAATTAGCAATAAAAACATCCTGGGTTTTACGTTTAGTGAATGATTATCGTACACAGTCAAAGTATTACGTAAATTTGAACTTTGTTGATAGCTGCATAGCATCCTGGAACGACCTCGAGGAATTGATTCTCTCTGGTAATCGGCTACAGTATTTACCAGATAATGTGGCGAATCTACAACATCTTCGTGTACTACGAGTTCACTCCAATCGACTACTCACGTGTCCTACCTTCAGTAAAACTACGTCACTCAGGGTGAGTTTTTAGAGGGATGTAGGTAAATGAACGTTGTGTGGGTTTGTGGAGAAATATTATGAGAAATTATTGTGGACTTTATAGATTTTAGACCTGGCTCATAATCAATTGGATAGGGTCAATCTATCCACGTTGGTACCACCACAATTGCAGTTCCTGGATATATCCTGCAATTCCAGATTGCATGTAGATCCTAGACAATTCCAGGTATATAGATCTCAGAGACCCGTATCCCTGGTGGATGTGTCTGGTCAGAATAGATCTAGCTTGCCTTCGCATCCACATCAGCAAGATATTGTCTCCACGGAACGTGGTATGGAGCAACCGTGGAGGCTGGGTTTCTCAGAAACTGGGGGTGGTAGAGAAAAGTGAGTTTTATTAGAATATTTGTATTTCATAATAAGAGTAAGATTTAATGACTATCTTTACCTTTTTTTTTAATTGCAGACTGTACGTCTCGCAAATTCGTATGCCAGCATTTTGCAACGTGGAGGGACTGTTTGGAATATTTGATGGAGGTTCGAACCAGGAAGCTCCTAGCGCCCTGCAGGAGATGATACCACGTATTCTCCTGGAAGAACGAACAGTTCGGGAGACGTCAAAGGATTATATAAAGTATACGCTACTGTCTGCTCATAGAGAATTAAAAGAAAAGGGACAGAAATACGGGATTGATGCGACTTTAATTCACATCACGAGGATTCCCTCGCCCCAGGGATATCCTCAGACTTCCAGGAGGTATTCCCTGAAGGTTGCCTCATCGGGTGAAGCAAAAGCTGTCCTGTGCAGAGCAGCAGGACCTCTGGTCTTGGCACCACCAAAGAAAGTTAATTCTAAAAATCAGCTAGGTAACGCAGCCATGTTCCCTCTGGTAGTACCAGATCCAGTTTCCGAGGAAGTATTCCTGGAGGACGACGACGAGTTTGTGATAATCGCAAATAGGAGACTCTGGGAAGTACTAAGTGTTCAGGAAGCTGTGCGCGAAGCAAGAGCGGAAGCGAGTCCCGTGTTAGCAGCTAAGCGACTCCAAGATCTAGCTCAAGCCTATGGAGCCGAAGATAACCTCAGCGTAATGGTCCTCAGACTTACAGGACCTGGTCCAGGTGATCTAGATCAACTGATGCGCGAACTCCGGCACGCAGTAGGGAAAAATCGAAATCAGGTCGAGAATAGTTGTTCCTGTCCATGCTGCCAACCTCCAACACCTCACAAACCGCCAGCTCCATGTTGCTGCCACATTGGTGAAGGCTACTATCTAAATGGCGTACTGAAAAACATCGTCAATAGGTGAGACAAGCTAGAATCATCTGACATAAATTCCAAGAATCATCCACGTGTGAAATATAGAGGCCGTCAACAGCTTTGAGAACTGTCAACAGGTCAGGCAAAGTCCACAACGGTTCCGGAAGGTTCTATAAAAATCGTAGGACTTCCGAAAGTGAAAGTCCTCCCTACGGTGATGATCGAAGTTCCCCGAGCGGCCAATCAGACCAGGCCAGCGACAGTACCTTCAAATCCAGACATCCATCCGGTCGTACCTGGGCTGGTAGCGCCGCATCCAGAGCTACCAAGGCTCGTCAAAGTGTTCTTATGCAGGAGAATGGTACCAGGAAGGTTTCCCCAGGTCTTCCAACTCAAGAAGACGCAGGATCCGAAAGATCAGGTGCTCTCAGCGAGGAACAATTCAGATGCTGGGAATATATGCTCGAGCAAAATACACAATTACTCTTTGATAAGGAACTGGACACGCTCACTCGCTCTCCTCTTCGGAGAGGTCAATCCAGGTCGACTCCACAATTAGCAGCCAACTTGCCATTTCTCTCCAAAAGATTTGGAAGTGCCAGGACCTTCAATCCTGGTTTACCCAGGGCGCCCGTCATGAGATTTGGCAGTGGACGACGAATTCTCAATGGCGGACCTAATGCTGCTTATTTTGGCAGCTTACAACGACTTATGCCCTATAATCTAGAGTATGACTTTGCTGTTATCCAGGAAAGGTCTGGCATGGATTCCTTGGAACAGGATGCCACTAGGATGCAGCAATACTGGGGTGTAGCTACCACAGAGCTCTGATTACAAAACCAATATTTTTACTTATAAAATGAATCGTGTGATATACAAGTTCCAAGGATACACAGATTCTCAGCATTCTGCCCATTTTCCTCATTTGTAAATAGCTAGGAAATAAAGTAACGCTCTTGCGATAAGATACGACGATAAATTAATCGCTGACATGACGAATTATGTTATAAAACATTATCAAATTTTATACCAAGTGGTAAACAACATTTTATTGTACCTGAACAGGTTGAAATTCTCACTCTCTTTCTTTTTCCCTATCTCTCATCGTCAAGTTACTCTTTACGATACTTGATTAATCTGAACACTGTTATATAAAATGGCGCGCATGTAAGTACAACATGAGCATACATACTATTTGTCCCTTGTCGTAAAAACACGACAAAGTATGAGATAAATGATCTATCTACGTGTACCTATGACTAATATAATATAACATTTTATCGATAATCAATGAACTGCATTCTGAAATTCAAGCAAATTTCAAATTCAGCTAAAGTTACGCTGCTGACCTACAGTAGTGAAGGTAACGTAACCCTCCCTACTACAGTCAGCAATCCCAACAGCGTATCTACAGCCGACATTGAAACCTGCTCTGAGTATTATCATTGACTGAACAGATAAGTAGAGTGGACATCTTATGAGATACAGTGTCACGCGAGCATGAGTGTAGCAAACACTTACCAGTGGACTTTACCCATTGAAATACCACACATAAATATATATTCTACATATAATCAATGAGACACAGAGTACACAGGCATGTCTACTCCATGGATATTCAGTCAAAGACATTGTCAATGCCATTCAAATAGATCAAGAGAGTTTCTACTTATCCAACACAAATTTCCCAAGTACTATACAATTGTCTCCCAAATAATTTTCTAAGTTCTATATTCGAACGTTCTAATTATCAGAATCGATTATTGCTAAATTCATCCAATTGAAATACTTCCCTACGTAAAAGCCTCTACACAAAATTCATCGTTTAACCTCAAACAAAATTTCTTTAAATATACAAAATGTTACGCGGTTGCTGCACGTGGACCTGTGCACGCATTTCCCAGCAGCAAAGGGATAGAAGGAAACGTGGGAAGAGCGGACATTAAGAGTGACGTAGTGAATAGGATGAAGGAAGGGGAACTCTAGACAGAGTCCAAGTGAAATATAAATAAAGAGGCGAAGAGGAAGGAGGTGTGCAACGTCACCGAATCAGTTTGCGTAATGCTCGACCAGCTGTGAGAGGAATCCATACAGTAATCTACTGGCGGTTGAAGACATCACTACTTTTCTTTAATTCGCCTATTGCAACGTAAACCACAGCCAATCGAATACTCGGTAGTTGTTGCTTCTCTTTCAATTTCACAATAATTTCGGACACTACGCGCCACTGTTGCACGGAATTGTCGCACGATCGATCGCCAAGCCGGCTTCTCATGTTTCGTTAACGAGGTGAGTGTTTGATGGTGATAGCAGCAGTAGGCATCGGGAAGTCTCTAATTTAATATTTAGGGTCAGTCACTCTTTCCGCTTTATCTATATTTTGACACGCAAAATCAGCTGATAAATGTCTTCAAAAATATATATATATATATATGTGTGTGCGCGTCGCTTAAATTTTACAGCTGTGATCGCGTTAGGGTTTCTCTCAGGTTTCTCATTTTTAATAATTCATGTGACAGCTGTCAATTTTATTAAAAATTTAAATATATATATGCACGTTTAATAAACAATAATATTATTCAACTGGTTATAAAAGTTTCATGTAAACAGTAGTTTCGTTGGAATTTATATAAAGACAGCTCAGACACTTTAGGCCGATTCGAATAGCAACTTAAAAAAAGAAACGTAGTATTGTCTGCAGTAATCCAATTACGCTATGCTTTGATTATTATCACCAGCATTGTTCACCAGGAACAACCACTTGCTACTTTCTACTATTTACGAATCACTGAGCATTTATTCCGTGAAGGAACGTGATATATAGCAAATTGCCGTAGCTCTGTACATGTATATATATTTACATAAATCCAACTGAATATTCGCCTTATAACTTCCGTTCGCGTTAGTACGAAATGATGCGTGGAAGTTTCAATAATGAGAATTTAAACTTTGAATCGCTAAAAAGTAGCGTTAAATATCAAGATCAGCAAATTGGTTCTTATATATACATTATAGAAAAGCTCACAATCGACTGCAGTCATTATCAATGCCCACGGCAAATAGATAATGACGTAACATTTAACATTGAAAACATTTTTTAAGTAATCTTTGTCTCTGCGATAAGGAACATGTAGAGAACAACTTGCGCAGAACTGAAACATTAACTGAACTTTGAAATTATCCTAGCAAGAATACGTATACTATTTGATATATTCTTATACATATACATATATATAAAGTCAAATACTTTTATTCTATTTAGACATTGAATCTCATCCAAAAAGCTCAGCACACGTGCGCTAGAAAATCTAATCTATTTTTGCAAAAAGATACCACGAGAACAGCCAAAATTTTCCTCGGTGTTCCTATCTTCGCAGATAAACTAGAAATTTACCAACCCTACTGTTACTTGCATAAACCGATGATGTTTTGTTTGGCAAATGAGAGACGTAAATATGAATTCAACAAGTAGTGGATAAATTACAGTCACGGCCATACGACGTTAGAAGCGTATAAGATACATTTCCAGGAAGACTATCCTTCTTGCTATTCCTTGAAATTGTATATACTATCCGATTCGTTAAGTTCTGTAACTACTGGCCTCGACTATCAAATCCGTATACAAGGCCAACCCAATGACGCGTTAATAAAAATGTAGGTAATCTCTGTCCTATATACCTTTGCCTATTACACGTATTAATATATTTTAAGTCTATCGCGTTTTTGTTTTGTCTACTGTATCATAACCTTGATTCTACAATTCATTAATCATACAACGCACTAGTGCTTGAAAACATTTACGATCGAGTATTACACGTTCGTTTAAATGAATCGTATGTAAACAACTATTACGTAAAAATCAGTACGATGGCTCGGTTCAGTTAACTAGCAGTTTAACAGGTTAGAAAACCCAGTCACCCAGGTTGAACGGTTAGTCAACTAGTTGGTCACTCAGATTAGTTACGTAGTCGACTATATGTATAGATATATACGTTATATGTATATACACGTGTTTACGAAAGATGCAGAATATACGTTATCATATAGTTATCATAAGTGGCACGTGCGCCAGAACAGAAAGTCACGAGTGGAGCGTGTGTGATGCATCGCGTAAACCAAACAATAGGATTCTCTACCGTTTCATGTTTATGAAGGATTTTAAGTGCTGCGAAGGCTTTGTTTTTTCACAAGTGCAAAGGGACCTGGGAATGAAAATGAAAAGGTTAGGCAGGAGTGCAATATGCTCGTTAAAAAGGAATTTATAATCTAGTCAGAACTCACGGAAAATCGTACGAGGTAGTAGAGATGTGCAATAATAATAAACCACGTCGGGTAAGTGAATTCGTTGCTGTCTTTCTTTGAATGTGTACTAGAGATTTTTGAAGCGCACGAAATTTCCTAGACTTTTGTAGAATTCCAAATGCTCGTTAAAAATGTGCTCGAAAGTTATGCATTGCGACTTTCGCTGAACTGAATGAACATTGAATCACAGGTTAAAGGAACTCTTAGTCCTTTGTCAAAATTCGAAAATTTTGTGTAACCGGAAGTAGTAAGTATCATGGGTGTGAAAATAGTGTTCAGAGATACTAAACCATAAACTATAGTCATTAGAAAAATTTTTTTTATTTTGCGACTGGAGTAACTAATTACGTTATGGTATATCTTATTAATTCTTTTTTTTTTAATACAATACTGTTCTTGAGATTGTTTTCGTATGTTATTGAATATTTATATGAAACTGATGATTTATAAACAGCTGGTATCTTCTTGTAAATAGTATTAATAATAATTCACCTCTTTCTTAAATGATACATTCTTGTTTTACTTATCACGAAATCATCTGGTGGACCAGGACTTTGCTCCAGAATTAAATTGATTGTACGGTCGAATTATATAAAAGCTTTAAATCCCAATCATCCAATCACCATCGATGATAAAAGATACTGAAAAGTCATTTATCTCTTCTCTTAGCATAAATATTACGTATCTTTGAACACTAGATTAACAAGTATTAACAAAGACGTTATCGACATTTCTTCGATAAATATCTTTACCGTGCTATGATTACTCAGTCCCTTATTTCCTTTTGGAATGAATAATTCTTAACTGATTTATCTACTGATAATATGGCTACAGATTAACTTACCAAACAGTCGGTATTTCTGTCGGCAAGGGTAGTCGTATTAAAAAAAAAAGAAAGGGTCGGGTCTAAAATAATTAAAATTGTTCCGATAAATGAAATATATCTTATCGCAATAATTTACTCTTACAGTACAGAATACTTGTATTTTTTAAGTCATACGTGAACATATATGCTGTGGAAAGATAAAATATTCCTCAAAATATTAATCATTTGCATAGGCTACACGGTGAAAAGAGAATATTTCATTTATCACAAAATCTCTTTCAATTACTTCAAAAATTTTGCTTTCATCAATTCTTACGTATCTACTGTTAGAAAAAGAAATAAGACCAATTTCCTGCCAAGAGATAATGACGATACTCCCCACATAACGTATGTGTCCGGGTAGGGGAAATATCGTTGTGGATACGAAAAGTGCGACAAGAGAGAGTAGCCGTAAAACAGTTGAAAGAGGACAGTTTTAGTCCAGTCTTTGAAGAGTGAGGTACGTCAAGCTGCTAAGCGCTTGATGATTCTTATTTCGATTCCGATCATGTGAAATTTAAGAGAAAATTTAAAAAGGCTACTTGACCTGTCTGTGAAATAATACAATTACTAGAAATTTACGAGTAGCTGCGTCTAAAGTAAACGAGAGTGTCGCATTTGTGATTATCCGTTATGATTCTGTAGTCACACATTGGTAGACTGAACGACGCGAGAATCGTGGAAGCCAGCAGGACAACGACTGTGAGTCAACTTAGTTAGCAACTAATATTTGCCAGCGTCACTTTAATTTATGATAAAGTTTATAAGATAAATATAGTTTATAAGATAAATTTATGATAAAAGTATTATCTTTTGTGTAGCTCCGATTTCAATTTTCAGGAACTCTCTCACTTTGGTCTTTAACGATTGTTAAGATGTTCTAAACGGTTTTTAGGATAGGATAGGTATGAATTTCTTTGTTAGGAATTCATTTTTTGGACTTTGAATTATATTGTGTTATATTGTACATTTCCTGAAGCATGATATATGCAAGTTCTTATTCGGCAGCATTATGAAGTACCTTATTGTAAAGGGTATTTGGATGAATTTTGATGCCCTTTATTATATATAAAAGAATCTAAAGAAGTTTGAGGAGACTGAAAAATCTTATAAAATGCAGTGAATCTGATTTTTAGAAAGTAAAGAGGACCAGCACTTTTGGCGGCTGTGGACTCTATTTGAGGATAGCTTTGAAGAAATTACGAGCAAGTATTCGTACGAGATGAAGGGTTCCGAAAGAGATTGGATATTTAGAATCCAGGTATATTTAGTTCGCTGAGTTTTTCTTAAAAGACTGACTAAACAACTTCTATTATGTTTATTCATTCTGATGTCACAGGTGTCTGGATTGGAGAAAAATGAATGTGTTTACGTAGTAGGCAACTTACCAGAACTTGGTGCCTGGAATCACAACCAGGCTATTCAATTATCCAAGGAACAGGATGACGTAGATACATCGGCGCTCTGGAGAAACAGCAGTGGACAATTTTCCAGTGAAAATGGACATGAGCCTTTTGAAAGAAATTCGTATGACGATTCTGAAGAGTCTGTATCAAACATCAGTATTATATTTTATCCTCTATATTATCAGGAAATGACATTAACTAATAAAGAAACAAATATTTCAGAAGTGGTCCAATATTCTCACAGAAGCTAAGCTTGCCCACCGATGTAGACATCGAATTTCGATACTTCATTGCCGTTATATGTCAATCAAATGGTACTAAAAATTCCGCCAGAACTCTAATAATCCGAAGATGGGAAACTCATATGGATCCGCGTATAATTAGAAAAAACAGTAAATACCATCTAACATATATAACAGAATATCGTTCGTCCTCTTAATTTCAAAATTCTATGTTTTATTAGCATCCAGCAATTTCTCAGAAGATAACGTACCAGACCCTGACAAATTTGGATATCACAATGGGTACAGAAAAGTTGAAAGAGGTTGGCTCACTGATGAAACAGTTATCCAATTTAAACTCTTCAATAATCCCATCAAGCTCTGGAAGAACCGATTACAAAATAGGAAGGTCTTCATCAAGGTTCGCAGTCCCAAATTATTACTATAGTATAACACTGACGCAACAATCTATCAGCCAAATTTATTCTGCTCCAATAGATGACTCCAGTGAACCTAGTGAGACACAATTCTCTAGAATTACAGCAATACGGTGGTGACTGCGTAGATGACAGTCTTTCAATTGATACCCAAGATATTGTAGATCAGCCTGCTTTCAGTATTACTGAAGTAGCTGTGAGTAGTTAAAAATTAACATTCCAATCTACATTTTTTAAAATCAATCACGGCTCTGTTATCTCAGGTGATGAACGACGAGGAGAATCAGTTCAAATACCAGGAACAATTCGGACGCGCATACAACGATGACGAATTCCTCATCTTCAGCGTAGCCGTCCGATATCCGGAAATAATCGTAAGTATTCATTTTCAAATTACCTTTTGGAATTTGAACAAGAAAGCGTACGAGACGTTGGTGAACGATCTTCGTTCGTTGCTCGTTGCTCGTTTCTCAAATTCAACAAGGTAAGATTAGGGAAAATGTAATGCACGAAAATGAACCATTTTGATGTTCCTTTCCTTATTAAATCCAATTATTGCTTAACATGAGAATAAACGGTTCCGCTTTGTTTGGCCTGGATTGCAAAGTGGATAAAATTTAGAACACAAAATAACCCAATAGATGGACTAACACTGTTATAATAAATAAGTAAAAAAAAAACACCAAATGGCTGCACAAAAAAACATATATAAATAAAACTATGCATGGCTTCTCAAGAGGTAAATGAGCAATGGAGTAACGAGTAACTGGACGAGGATGGTTCCCGATAATAGGAATGGATTAGCAACAAACTCAACATTGACCATACCAATATGTAAGTTTTCAGTAGACCACGAGTAGGCCGGCCACCTCTCCTTCTCGCGTCACGTGTACAATAACTTGGTAAAAAGATAATTAAACTTGTTCAGCAGCTATTCCCTCCTCGGATACCAACGAATGATGGCGAGTACCGTGCGATCTGGGTCGGACGAAGACAGAGCCGTTGACTTCTTCTTGTACAAAGCAAGACTGGTGCAAATGATGATGCTAACATGCATTCTGATGTACCGATGTTAAACATCGGTCTACCACTTTACATCTGTGTCACATGACATCACGCAGAGATATGATGGTTTTGATTGTCGTTTACCCTACCGACCCTTTCCTTTGGTACGACTGGACTCGCCAAAAGTCCCACGGGAACGCGATCAATCATTAGGATCAATGCATAATACAAAAAAGTATGAGATTTGTGTCGTTACGCCTGATATCTATGAGAACTGGTGTTTCGGCGAGTACCAGACGTTCCTGGCTATTCCTATTAAGAAAAGAACAAAAAAATGGAGCGATATCAACGCTGTCACATCTCATATCCATCTGTGTGCGTCGAAAATGGTGAGACTCCCATCAGTCCTATATCCTTTTAGTGTATTGCAATTATTTTCTAGCTCTGACCAACTCTGCCGTGCACGTACGTGGCCACGCTGCTGTGTGCGGCCAATGACAAGATCGTGGTGTCAGTCTTCCTTATCGGAATTACATACCAGAATTTGTTTACGCAGTCAATCAGAATTTTTTTTATAATCACGAATGATTGGCAGGTGCTGCGGGCTACGCTTCACCCGGCAGTAAAAAGCATTTGGCAATTGTTATTGGGCTGGTTCATTGCTAGATTACGTAGGAATTAAATTTTTCCCGTATAGTCACTGTTATAAAGTCATCATAGAGTATTGTCTTAAATTATCTATTGTATAACTTTTTTTTTCTAAAGATTTATACGGCTCAATTTACTTCCTACGTTCGTACAGGTTTGGGGAGCGAGAACAACATGAGAAAAAAGAATTTACATTTATAGAAATTTGATTGTCTTACTGCTCTGATTATTTCCGGATAGTTCATTTACTAGTATCTCACATGGTGTATGATTACGTATGCAGGTAATTTCTCTGACTTTTGACTCTGTTCTAACTCGCCGATCTTGGACGTTTAACCTTAAGTTATACAGAATAGCTGTCGAGCTAAGAACATGCAGACGCAAGTGTCGTTGTTGTGAGCATTCTCGTGACTGTTTCTTGAGTCATATAAAGAATATTTTTTTCTAGGCATATTTAGTGGACTTCTACGTATACAGTTCTCGTTCATTCCCTGGTGAGCCACCCAATCATATAGGATTCAGCTACATTCTACCCAGCACTTTGCAAGCTAGCGTAGGTCTACTTACTGTACCAATCACTAGCAGCAAGCACAGACCAATTGGTAAGTGCAGTTTAAGAATGATGAATACCCTTATTATGTATAACATTATTGTTCTTATGTAATTGTCAATCTCAATTCAAGGACAATTGACTGTGGAATATGTGGCAATCAAACCAATTCCTGATTATCCATGGGACATGAGTATCTCCTATGCCAAGCATTGGGAACAAAGGTGGTCCGGTCTGGATGTTGGACATAGGGGACTTGGAACTTCGTTTAAATTTGAAATGAAAAAGTAAGTTTACAAGGGATAAAAATGAAGGAGGTTAAGGTAATCGGATTAATTCATTTTAATGAATTTTTCTCAGTTGCGCTAACGTGCGAGAAAATACTGTTGCTTCCTTGAAAACAGCTGCTCACCATGGTGCTGATATGGTTGAATTTGATGTTCAACTATCCAAAGATATGATACCTGTTATCTATCATGATTTTTATGTGTCGATATCTCTAAAGCGTAAGAAGCAAATAGAAGCTATGGATATGCTTGAGATTCCTGTGAAGGATCTCACCCTAGAACAACTACACTTGCTCAAGGTAAGCGGAAAAGAACCATAAGAAAATTCTGATGTCGGTTAAAGTCAGAATTATCAATGCAATTGTGATTGTGACATTAAAAAGAATCTAAACCTAATTTACTAACAAAATTGAGTGAGTGACGCTTTCTCCTTGTCTTTACGTAACACGAATAAAATTATTCAACTTTTTTTTAAGGATCTTAGGTCCGCGAAATTTAATTTTTACACTCGACTCCACCCGAACGTATCTTTTTAATCTTCAACAGGATTTTTATTACCCTGAGGACTCTTTGGATAAGGTGCTGTATTACCGTGGTAAAGACGAGATGGGTGTTGACCGTTCGGTGAGCTTTCATACAGCTTGCGTCGCCTGTCTCGTGCAAAATCAAAATGCAGATTTAAAAGTTATAATCAAAATCAAATGCAAAATTATCTTCCTCACGCGTCACGATCATTCGAGCATGTACATACATACATTTGTATTGAACTCTATTGTATAACACCTTAAACTTGCCACAGTCATGGCAATCAACATGAAAAAGCAACCAGGGCATGCTGTCTGGACCATACAAAATCGTTCGACAACCATAAATCTTGAATAGTATACAACCTCCTCTCTAATTTATGCTTCTCGAATTAAAATAAATATGAACGTCACCATTTCCATTTACAGTTCCTTCTGTAATTTGCCCAAGATACCTCTTAATTGTTTCTAACTACATTTCAGGTTTATCATTTGGCGGAGGCCCGAGAGAAGAATCCAAGATTCTTCGACGAGGATCTAGAAGATCATCAACCCTTTCCTACTCTACAGACTGTACTCCAGGAACTGGAGCAGCATGTGGGATGCAACATAGAAATTAAATGGACTATGCAGCTCAAGGTAAGATTTCGAAGTGAAATAAAAATTTGACTCTTTTTTTGACTTAATTTATTTATACAGGACGGAACGTTCGAACTGAATCATCCGTTTGATCTGAATACTTATTTGGATATAATTATTAAAGTCACCCTGGAATATGGTGGCGACAGGAAGATCCTCTTTTCGTCTTTCAATCCTGATATTTGCGCCATGATTCGGCTCAAGCAAAACAAATATCCTGTGGTGTTTCTTACCCAGGGTATTACTGCTAAATATCCAACTTATCATGATCCACGGTGCCAGAGTATACCCATGGCGATGCGCCACGCTCTGGCTGCTGATATTTTAGGGATAAACGTACATACGGAGGATATCCTCAGGGATTCGTCTCATGTAAAAGTGGTGAAGGATGCTGGTCTCATTATCTTCTGTTGGGGCGATGACAATAATGACAAAGACACTATACAACATTTGAAAAAGCTGGGACTTCACGGAGTTATTTATGACAAGTAAGTTACCTGGGTGCGCATCAACTACAAAGCACTTTTCAAGTCTAGATTTGCGCACTGAACACATTATTGTCTCTCCTATAGAATGGACGAATTCAATGGTAAAGAAGTGAAGGAGAGTATATTCCTAGTAGATGCTCGAGAAAGTCAGAAAGCTTTGATAGCTCTAGCACATTGTAATCAAACTTGCGGACCGCAACAACAAACACTTCCCGATCCTATCAGTACCAAGAAGGTAAGTTGTGCGATTTCAAAAAGTTCCACTAGGAAGCTGACCTGTTCATGTATTTCAGGATTACGTCTTTGAACTGGAGAAGGCTCGTAACTCCATCGCCGCAGCTTCAACAGCTACATCTCTTGCTTCACTAGCCAATTGTAGTCTAGGAGGAGACACAATATATCCTGTACCCAATGCTAACCTGTTAAATTGCTGTGGCAGACCAGGGGATAGGGAAATCGGTGATCTTGCCAAGGATTTCAGCGTCTGCGCCAAAACTTGCGGTCATCCATCCAAACCAAGAAATGTATCAGAATTGGTCTGTGGCGAGCCCATTACCTTTCCTGAAATTCCAGGAGAGGATGAGTCGGCTAAGGACTGTCTCTGATGTTTCTATTTCAAAAAAAGCTTAATGTCCTGGTTCTAACGCGTGACTCCCACTACTCACTGATAAAAAATATACTTTTGCCCATTCTTCGATATCTTTGAGTCCCACTAGTTGAAACACAAGCAATATTTTTTTGCCTAATTTCACTCTATACTCTGATCAATTAGTGACTAGGGAAACTTGCGTTAGAATAAATGAGGTAAAGCTAATAGAATAGAGTAAACATAGTGAACGGATTTTTTGGTACAAAGGTGTTCATGTAAACTTGAATTAAAAACGAACGTGCTAACTGTTGCCGTAGGATTTTTTTTAGCAGTTCGTTTAAATGACTCGCCATCGCAAGGTATCGCTGATATTTTCATTTCACGTTATGTAGCCAACAAAAAGACTACGAAGCCTCAAGCAATGCCGTCTTGATATTCCATGTAGCGTCTGAAGCTCATTCCTTAATAGCCAATATAATCATTCGTGCCTGTTTTATTTATGCTGTAGAACACTTAGTTACGCATTCATTCTTGGACATTGAAATTGTTGATTTTTATCACATACGTATGAGTGATACTCATCACGAATGCATAACAAGATACAACTTCTATGTCGTGCTTAAATATCGTATAATTTTAAGACCTTGTAAACCAACGGAACTTATATATATATATATTGACATCAGATAAATTGAACCTAATTCGAATTGACGCTCCTTCATGGATTATATATAAAATTGATCGGCTTAGGTGGGCTCTATGGAATGAAAATGCTGGCCGCCATTGACTGGACTATTTTCGCTAAGCCTTGATCAAATGAAAGGAATAAAATAAATAGTTCGTTATTGATAATCATCATTTAGACAATTTTAACAGAAATTACTATACGTTCTATTGTATTTGAATTATTATCCTATGTACATAGAAGATATTCCTCTTTCCTTATTGAATAACACTATCAAGCGTTAAATTAATTATTATCACTTTTCACTCAGAGGAATACATTTTTAATTGCATCGATAACACTTCTTACGTATTCAATATTTCTTATTTAACTACCTCTAGAAAAGAAACGAGGAAACAGGTTTCTTTCCTTTATGCAAATGAGAATTCATACATGCTGTAAAATATTTCAAATACATTAAAATTATTTTCAAATGTATTTTTCACTTGGTCCTCTATTCATGTCCCGAATTGCTAATGAATTAAAGTTTAAATAATGCTTGAGCATATTAAGGACTCTGATCTGTTGGCATTTATCTTCTTATCTTCTGCCAAAGCAAACATAAATAGAGAAAGTTTGAAATATTTTGAGACATCTAATGGACGCATCGATTTAAAGAGCGACCCGAAGTCTTACTCTTCCCGAAGAAATTTTAATTGGTTCAGCTTATCAATGACTTAATTCGAAATCATCCTTATTTACATCTTTAGGGGGGCACATCGGAATAGACGGTGGAGAAAATAGGTGAATTTTGGGAATTATTATCTGCAAAATTATTCGCTCCAATTCATCCAGATATTTTTTTATTCAAAAGTATATATATTGAGGTATGTTAAAACAATTTTTTTTATGAATGTACATCCACTCGAAGCGTTACTCTCGTGGCCGACGTAAAACATGTCCCTCACTGGCACGATCTGCGGTCCCTAGAACTTCATGAAGTCTGTTGATGTGCAACATAAATTTCGCATTTAGTTTGGCAAAAAGATGATACGCTCTTGACCACTTGGTCGTTCGTCTACTTTTCAGTAAATCCAAATTTTAGATTCCAGGGCCATAAAGTAAATCCTCAGCAACGATCCGTGATTGCCTTCGCTGAATCCCCCTTTCACAGGTTGCGTTGTAGTTCGAATTTTGGCGCTACTTCTGCGTTTTCGCATCTTCGATCTCGCAATACTGATATGTTTCTTCCTACTTTGATGCCCAATGCATCAATATAATAGTTTATGCTTGGTTCTAAATTAACTGATCTTCGTAGTTTCTTTGCCGAAGCACTCACACGACTACAATCTTATTCGGATTCATAACGTTTCACAGGAAATCTTCTTTTTTTGAGCTGGTTTTGCGAATCAGTTTTCTCGCTTTATCCGCTCTTGTCATTTAACTTTGACAATTTGATTTTCTGTGAATCATTTCACTATATAACTTTCGTAAAACTACGATGCACAAAATAAAGAACGTTGTTTACTGCTGCACAGCTGACAGATCAACGCTTCAGAAGAACCATTAGCATTAGCAAAGGGTTGACCCAGTCTGACCCTTTCATACCTGCAAGCAAACAAAAGGCTCCGGACTGCTCCGGACTAGCGGCGCACCTGACCACCCGACGCCTTTCGGCAAATTGATCATAACTTCCACAATTCTTGAAACTTCAATATGAAATTTACACATAATATTCTTAACACTTCAAACTTTAAGGCAAGTGAAACAAAATTGACTAACCAAATTTGTTTTATTCGCAAGTGCCCCTTAAAGTAATTGAACTATTCCATGTCGAATTTGGAATGTGTGTTAGATGAATTCAATGCGTAAATTCATTCCAATTCATTCTAAAGATTTATGGGGCAGCTAGAATGGCCAGCGGGCAAAGAAAAATGCAATGGCTGCCATTCAGCCCCCACCCTGAAGACCTGAAAACATTCAAGGTGTCACTAGGCGAGAGTAAGAAGTTTGTGTGAAAATTCATTCTCCCGTTTGCGTGCGCGGTTTTGCATATCACTCTGGGATTTAACTGATTCAATTATTCGTTTAAGTGAACACGAAGAACTGACCAATCAAGAGAATAGTCCATGTCATGGAGACAACAGTGACCCTGGAATGATTATACGTGAACATGGTGCATGAGAACTAATGTTTTGATACTTCTCTTTGGATCTCCTTGATGTTATGCGAACATTCGCCAGTCGGCCTTGTCATTCAAGGTGTGACTAATCTTCAGCTCGCTCTTTATATTTTCCAGACCTTTCTGGAAAAGTTCATACATCAATAACAACTGTGTACTAGTCACACATGCTATGTTTTTCAGCATCATATTTCACTGATATTATTCTCATATCTTTATGAGATAAGCTATATGCTGTGATCTAGTCGGTTTTTATTATTTTAAAATTTAATCACTTTGTATTTGGTGTTTAAAAAATTTGGATAAAGTTACAGTGCAGGATAAAGTTAAAGTTACAGTTAAGTTACATCGTTGCTCGCTGTGTCTCAGTTTTTTTGTATAATTCATATTTTGTCAGGAACAGAGAAGCTATCATGGTGCTTTACTTAGAATATAGTCTTGAGATTTATGAAGGAAACTTTGGGAACAATTTTGTCATATGATTACAGATTGGAGCAAGAAATTATGTAGTGCAAAGTGGTACCACACACCAATAAGTACAAATGAATGATGAACTTTACTGTGCCAAACATTTGTGAGATCTATGTTCTGTGATGGGGTGGAAGAGAGCAGCAACGCTATGGGTTGTCACTTGGAGTTGCTTGATGCGGGGTTTGGACTTTGCACCCCAGGTTCCTCCGAAGCAAGTACCTTGTGATAAAACAAGAAAAGTCTTTACAGACTCATGGGGTATTATTAGTGATGGCCCAATGGGCTCAAATTACACCCAGGATTCTCACTGTGAATGGCTCATCAAAGGTGATCCTCGAAATATCAATGCATCACTTTTCTTTTTTTTTTACTAAGTACTAAAACTGTTTGTTCCTATTTTTTCAGCCAACAACAGTCGACAGTTTATTACTCTTAGTTTTCGAACAATGGGAACAGAATGCAGTTACGACTATGTCTTTGTCTATGATGGAGATTCTTTTCGTTCTCCTCTACTAGGAAGTTTCAGTGGGAAAACAGAACCTCAGCAAGTCACATCTTCATCAGGCTATGTATGTAACATCTGGCTGGTCAGCCAGGAAGTTTCCAATTAAATGACAAAAACATCTCTTATGATTACAGATGCTGATTTTACTCTACAGTGATACCAATTACGTCCTGGACGGTTTTCATGCCGAATTCTCCGTAACGGACTGCCCAAATAACTGTACAAATCATGGAGCCTGCATACAAAATACATGTTTCTGTGAAAATGATTGGGGCGGAAAGGATTGCTCAAGAGCTCTGTGTCCCAATAACTGTGGTCGTGGAGGAGTTTGTCGGGGTGGACGATGTCAGTGTCACCCTGGATATTCAGGACAGTCATGTTCATTACACAGAACAGATCCTGAAGGAAATAGGTTGGTTTAGTAACACTTTGTCAATATTTTATACAGGCACTTTAAGCCTACTACTATTTTTTGTAATATTTAAAGGTGGCATTGGCTGTCGCACTCAGAAGGCGGAATGACTCCTAGAGCTGCCCACACTGCAGTTTATGTGAGTCAAACGGATTCTCTGTACGTCTTCGGAGGCTACGACCTTAACTTCATTCTCAGCGACCTAGAGGTCTACAGATTTAATACAAATCAATGGGAAGACGAGCACGGCACTGTACTGGGTGAGTTTTTTTGTTTAGTACTATATTTATTTTTAAAAAACTATTATTACTCAATAAATTTTTATACTCGCTGCTTATGGGCACTATCGACATGTAAGTTTTTCGATGTATCCTTAATTCCATTCCGTCCGAGCATTCTATGTTCTGAGTTGTGCAGTCTAGTATATCATTACAATAATAATAGAAAATCTCGTAGCATTATCACTTCATTTTCCTGCAGAAGGACTATCATCGACGGAATATGTAGACCCTATGATATTAGCCAGCGAATTAGATCGGATTCGGGATGGAGCCGAGGCGCAATACGGTCTACGTCCATCATCCTTCTTCTACAAGGTCCTCTTCAGCATCAAGGATAACAATACGTTCAGCTTACGAGACCGAGCGATGGTCGACGCAGGTCAGCACGGATGGCGCGAGCTTCGCAACACACCGGAGCACCGGGAACGCGAGAGAAAGGCTCAGGAAGCACGTGAAAACGAGATGAAAAGAAGGAACGAACGGATTGAGAGGAATGAAAAGCAACGACGGAAACATCCTCGTCGCATCAGACCTCGTTACTCTCATTCGACTCTGACTACTCATGCTAAACATTATCGACGTAGTGCAGACACTGGCACAGAATATGAGAACAGGCACAGTTCCAGCGTTCAGGATGATATTGTCAATTGGGAAAGTGAAGCGGCTGAAAACCCTCAAGAAGATGGGCTCTACCTTCAGGGTATTCTGGAGCCAAAGGTCACTACCGAAAGTTCCTTCAACGATGAGTCTACTGAACGGAATTTGGATGAACTACCAAAGCCTAGTCCTCGATACGGGCACGCTGCTTGTAAATATGAGGGTTAGTAAAATCTTCAGTATTATAAAATTATTACATAATAAATTACTTTATCAGGATCCTTATATTTGGACTCCAGGTGGTTTCGTTATATATGGTGGTAAGGTAGAGGATGGCTCTCTATCAAATGAATTGTGGCATTACAATGTGAACAGGAGTATATGGACGCTACGCGCTAAAAATTCTCCATTTTATCCACCAAGACTCACTAGACATACTCTCACTCTGGCTAGTGATTATGTTTATTTATTTGGTGGAAGTACAGTCGATGGAGAATTCTCTTCGAGTCTCTATAAAATTAAATTAAATCTCTGTACGTATTATCGTCATATTACCTATTATCATAGAATTATTGTTACATTAATTAATAATCATTTTATTCACAGCTGATCCAACCGCCACGACTGAAAGATGGCGGGAAGTACGCCCTCGCGGTGGTAAAGAATTGGACGTTCGCGTTGTAGCACATTCAACTGTATATCATAAAGCTACTAATTCTTTATTAGTATACGGTGGAGTAGTAGCTAGTGTAGCACGTTTTAGTAAATTGTCCGATAGAATGTTTGTCTTCCAACTGGATAGAAAGGTTTGGTCGGAGATTCATTATCCTCGAGCTCATCTGCGGGATACCTACGTGCCACGAGAGCGGGCATTTCATACTAGCAGTATAATAGGTAAGAGTAATTAAAACGATTTTGATTATTTCAGGTTAATTAAATACTTTAACGTCATTTCGTTCTCTTTTTATTTTGCAGGAAATTATTTAGTCGTATTCGGAGGATATTCTCATAGGCATAATAAGGAAGAAATCTGTTATGATAATCAAATGTATCTGTATCATCTTGGTTGCCATGCTTGGGTCAGTCATGACGTTCTTGGATTAGATGATAATAAAGGTAACGTGATTCATAGTTTTTTTTAATTTTTCTATTAATTGGCTAGATATTTACTCAAGAAATGTTTATACAGAGTCTAGATATCCCAAGCAACAGGGAGTCTTTGCTCATGCTGCGGATGTGAGGAATGGTAATACTTTGTTACTAGTCGGTGGTTATCATGGTAACGTGAATGCAGATTTATTGGCGTACACCCTGCCGCCAATGCTCGCACCAGGAGACAATGATTACATAGAGCCAGAGCAGATTTGTTCAAGACATAAGAGTCTTATGGAGTGCGCAGCTAATCCAGAATGCGGCTGGTGTTCAGCCGACGAGATCTGTTACGGCAGAACAGTCGGTAGTAATTGCACAACAAATCTTCAGACAACCCGTTGTCCAGGAGTCTGTCCTGCACTTGGAGATTGTCACTCCTGTTTGATACATGGCCAACCGGGTGGTGGCTGGGGTACGAATTCACGTGGAAGAAGTTCAGTATCCAATAAGCTCAATCTAGGCACTTGCACCTGGTGTGTTCAAAATGCTCGTTGTCATCACAAGGATGACAATTACGGCGTGTGTGGTCTGAGGGATGATACTCCTTCTCAAATTCCTGGATGGTGGGGACCCAAGGGTACTGAGATCGCCAAGGTGGAGGAGTGTCGTGAAATGGACAAGAGACCTGGACTGACGTTCCTCAAGTACAGACCACCTGTTAACTTTAGTCAACCAGACTCCGTGACTATAGTCAATGCCACCACTGTCGATTTTAATGTACCTTCTATGCAAGGTGCCAAAACGGAATCCGCCCTTGGCGGAGAGATGATAGCACGGCTCATTGGCTTCTTAAGACCACCTCAGTACTTCTGGGACAGTACTGTAGAATATTTGAAAATCTGTGTCAGCTACAACAGTGCCACGCTTCATGTATCGCGTAGTGACGATCATCAAGAGTTGGTAAGATTTCATATTTTTATACAGTAACAGTCCCAAGTTGTACCTTTTTTTTATCGATAGTATTATGTTCCAGGAACTCGTGGCTAATTTAACAGCTGAAACTTCTCAGTGTATACCCACCAATTGGCCAGATGGAAATCAGATGAAATTGTTACCAGGTCGTTACCTCCTGGACTTTGAGTCAAAGCGAATGGTCACGGCTAGCTATGCCTATGCTAGCAAAATGGAGATAACACATAACCGTAACGCTGAGAACCCTAAAGTATTCACTTTTGAGTATCTGGAACCGTATCAAAATGGATCCTGTCATCAGTATAAAAATTGTTTGCACTGTCTGACGGACTCTTCTTGCGGCTGGTGTGACATTATTAACAAGTGTCTGTCACGTACTGTCAACGAAACTGAAAGTTGTGCAGCTGACGTAGAGTGGGACGAAGATGGAAATGCAATACGTGAATGGCACTACCTTACAATTACTCCATCAGCCTGTGCTAATTGTTCTAATTATATATCCTGTGAATCTTGCGTTGGTAGCAATTTGTGTGAATGGTGGACGGAGGAAGCTCGTTGCGCCAGGATGGGCCGATTACCAAATGCTGTGTTAAGTTTAGACCAGTGTCCGATCCCATGTAGACAACGTTCTAACTGTACCCAGTGCCTCGACGAACGTGGAAGATGCGTCTGGTGCGAAGCTACCCAGGAGTGTTTCTCATTCTCGGTATATACATCAGAGTATCAGTTTGGCCTATGCCGTGAATGGCTGGACCAGGCTGGACTCATGGGAGTGACTTCAAGATCAGGATCATCTCTCACAGGAAACGATCAGTGCAAAAGTTGTAGCAGGCATACCAATTGTTCGAGCTGTCTTCATTCTCTGAGCTGCGGCTGGTGTTACAGTCTGGAAAATCCAATCATGGGTGCTTGCGTTCAAGGTGACTTCAATCAACCTCACGTAAACTGTAGTCTTGTTATAAACGAGTATCAAAACACAACTCTGGAAGTTGAAGAATCAGGCTGGGCTTATGCACAGTGTCCCGACGTAGACGAGTGCGATCTTGGACTTCATGATTGCCATCCTAACGCAGTCTGTACCAATACCCACGGAAGCTTCAGCTGTCAGTGCAAGCGTGGCTTCAATGGCGACGGCAAGGAGAACTGCACAAAGACCTGCTATGAAAAGTGCGTCAATGGATACTGCAGTGAAGCACCAGATTATCGTTGCGAGTGCAACCTTGGCTGGACTGGTCCAGATTGTAGAACAAATTGTGGATGTTATAATCATTCCACTTGCATGCACGGTCCAGGTGTCTGTGACGAGTGTCAGGATTGGACCACCGGGAGATACTGTGAGGAATGCAAAGCAGGCAGCTATGGAAACGCTACAACGAGTCTAGGATGCAGGAAGTGCAATTGCAACGAGCACGGTGATAAGGATTTGGATGTCTGTGACAGACAGACTGGCGTGTGCTTCTGTCGAGATAATACTGAAGGTGACAGGTGTCATCAGTGCAAGAAAGGGTACTACGGTGATCCTAGAGATGGCGGAATGTGCTATTACGGATGCATGTCCAGGGGTATGCTCGGAGGTGAAGGTATTGGTAAACAAGGACTAGGAAGTCGACATTCTCAACTCTCCCTCTGGGAAACTCACTTGGGTGTTTCGCTTACAAGAGAATGTCTCTGGATTATAAGTCCCGAGACAGGATTGTCCTTGGACACGATGACTCCTAGCATTCAGAGTGTCATCCAATTTACTATTCACGACGATATAAACATCAGGTGTCAAGAAAACAGTGTCTACGTATATGACGGACTTCCTGAGTTTGTCTCATCCACCACGAGTCACCAGAATCAATTGCTAGGAGTCTACTGCACCGAGAGCACCAATTACCCAGTAACCGTCGAAGCAAAATCTGGTTTCCTTACGGTTCATTATAAACAACTAGACGAGGTCGAAGGCTTTAATGCTAGTTACGTCGTGATGACCTGCAACAACTGTCCTGAGAATCGAGAATGTCGTAATGGAAACTGCCTGTGCAAACCTGGTTTCGTTGGTATAAATTGTGACGTAGAACTGTGTCCTAACAATTGCACCTCGTCCAAGAAGCAAGGTGTCTGCGATAAAGGCTATGGACACTGCGTATGTGCCCAGGGCTTTGGAGGTCGCGATTGCTCTATTAAGATGAAAGAGAATCAACTGGTATTCACAGAACTCTTTAATTCTGAATATCTAGCTGATCACTTGGATCATCTAAGAAAAACATTACCCAGGTTTGGACATAGTCTAGTGGCTGACCGTCGTGGTAGTCTTTGGATGTTTGGCGGCTATTCCTTGAGTCATGGTCCTCTGAACGACATCAGGCTTTTCGACACGAAGAACAACACTTGGATGCCTGTCACTGTGGAGTCAACGTCAGAAGCTTCTATGCCTCGAGGAAGATACTTTCACGCAGCCGAAATAGTTCATAGTAGACAACAGATTTATGTCTACGGAGGATTGTCTATGAAAGAGAAAGCTTCTGAAAGTTCGCCGAACAACTACCTTAATGACTTCTGGAAGTTCAGCCTGCAGAATCAACGCTGGAGTCGCGTTAGTCGAGATTTATTGAAAGGGGAACCTCCATCGTTGGCTGGTCATACACTCACTCTACGTCGTGACGGGGAATCGGAAAGTCTCATATTAATTGGTGGATTTAGTCTCAAACATGGCTACCTGGATACCGTATGGGAATTTAATCTTGAAACCAACACCTGGGACATTATCAAAACCGTCGGCAACGGTCCTGTAGGTGTCTATGGTCACACCACAGTCTATCATAGCAAATCTGACAGCTTCTATATTTTCGGAGGATATACCTACTCATTTAACAGAACCTTCATATCGAATAAACTCTACGCCCTGAATTACAAAATGCGAACCTGGTCCATTTTGCCGCCATTCGAGGATGAATTTACTGATGAAAACAGTCTGGTGAGTAATCACGTTTTTTTTTCTACAAGGCCACGACTTTAATAGATTACTTAAAACATACCTAAGTTGCAAAAAAATTATGGATTTTAGCCCCAGGCACGGTTCCTACATTCAGCAGTGACAACTGACGAGTACATGGTCATCTTTGGAGGTCGTCAGAATCCTCACAACACTACAGATTCCCTAATAGCTTATAAATATTCATGTAATCTTTGGATTCGACTCATCACCAGAGATACGGAGATAATCGGTAACTCACCACCGCCAGCATATGCTCATGCAATGACTCACGCTGATCCGGAAACCAATGCCGTTTACGTGGTGGGTGGTTTCGACGGTGGAATAAAGAGTCACGTAACGCTTATCGACATCCCCGAAGACCTGTGCAATCTATGGACTAATAAAACCACCTGTCGCAAATACTTCGGCTGCTCCTTCTGTGCAGTAACTACCATTTCCGGTACCAATCTGTCCTACTGCTTCTCCAATGAAGAATCCGTCAACCGGGATGACAAGTGCGACATAAACGTTACCCAGGTTCAACGCTCTAATGGTATCTTTTGCAATTCTGATTGGATGGCCAGTAGAAAGTGTCAGAACTTCAAAACCTGCACCGAATGCCTCGCCCAATGGCCCTACTATAAAGACGACGAGCCTATTTGCAAATGGTGCTCTAAGTGTCCTCATGTGAAATGCATTCCCTATGAGAAAGACTGCGATGACCTAAATAAATGTAGTGTGCAGCAGGTACCTGTGACTAATGTTGATCAGTGCGATGAACGTCAGTGTCCTGCGAGTGACTGTGAAAAATGTAACAGCCTCTCGGACTGCATCTGGACCAGACAAGTTCTCAAAATTCGTAAGTAATCAGAAACATTTATTTAAATGGCTCATGAATCATTTCCATCTTCTCTCAATTCCTTAGCTGAACCTGGTATCAAGAGATACGGAGAACCAATCTACGACTGGAACTGTTCCCCAAAAGACATCGAGAGGTCCAATGTTAAAGTAGAGAATGTTGAGTGTGGGAAACGCTGTAGTGATTACACGGATTGCACAAGCTGTCTGCAGGGAACTGGAGCAGAAGGTGGATGGCATGAGTGTCGCTGGTCTTCACAACTGAATGAGGTTTGACATCAAATAATTATTAAATTAAGTGACGTTGGGTTTAACCTATAATTCGTATATTCAGTGCATTTCTCCATCGTATCAACCACTCTATTGCGCTGGTGGTGTCTGTGGACTTGTTTTACGTAACACTGACGTCGAGTACTGTCCAGAACCTTGTGCAGTTTTTAAGCAATGTAGCACGTGCTTGAAACACTCACACTGTGGTTGGTGCTCTTTGGATTCTGCGAATGTCACTGGTCAGGGTATCTGCACCGAAGGTTCCTTGGAAGCACCAAGTGATCATCCAGCTGGCGGAACTTGCGAAATGCTTTATCATGAGCAATATCCACGGACTGAATCTGGTGAGTTTAACATTGCGTGAAAAATTTCTTTTATACCGTAGTTCCAAAATTTTCATATTATATATTTTTGCACAGTACTTTCACCCATTGTGACTACATTATTACCACAATCATTTGAGGCTGTTGAGTCTCAAGAAAATGTAACAATGCTGATAACGACACCAGCACCACTGCCTAGTTTCTCTTGGCATTATGTCCGCTGTCCTTCTGAAAATGAATGCATAAATGGCCATCATACTTGCTCTGCGAAGAGTGAAAAGTGTTTCGACAAGGAGGAAGGTTTTGAGTGTATGTGCGGTGATGGATACAAAACTGAAATGTGAGTAATATTTTGTTGTCGTCGTTAAATACTTTTACAATATAATAAATTCTGACGTTGTCATAAATTGCAGTACTTGGACTGCCAAAGAGTACGGCAGGTATGTATTTGGACAGACTGATGTTATCTTTCTTTGTTACGCTAGAATAATTGGAATTTTCGAATTTTATTCAGGAAAAAATGTGAACCAATGTGCACACAAGGCTGCGTACGTGGAAGTTGCGTTGAACCAAATGTTTGCCGTTGTGATTTTGGATACGTTGGCGCAAATTGTTCTATCCAGTGTCAGTGCAATGGACATAGTAATTGTGCAGGACCTGACAAGCTGGATGTATGTCTAATGTGTCACAATAATACCATGGGTCCTCAGTGCGATAAGTGTTTACCTCTCTACGTTGGAAACCCTGCAGACAATGGACAATGTATACCTTGTCTTGAATATTGTAACGGGCACACTCGAATATGCATCAATGAAAGTATGACAGTAGCGGTAAGTAATTAAAAAAAAGAAAATAAATATTTCATAGACTGTTACTAACTTTACATTTTACTAGGACCCAAACTCAGTGGACAAGATGTCTATTGAGCTTCTGAAGAAGCAGCTGGTAGAGGGTCCAGTTGCGAAAGCAAAATGTGTCAATTGTGGTAACAACACGAAAGGTGACAAATGTGGGGAATGTGTTTCTGGATATTTTCGAGGAACTGAAGATCTTCACGACATATGTCGACCGTTAGTAATCGTTGAATTAGAAAACGGATACAAATATTCCCTTGCATTAAAATTTTCTTAATATCAGGTGCGAGTGCCATGGCCATGGATTTACTTGTGATCCTGTTACTGGAGAAAAGTGTAATTGTGGCAATAATACTGAGAGCGAACCTTCCTGCACCAGTGGTCCAACTAAAGGAACCAACAATGGTGGAACACCATGTTGGATGGTTCAGTGTAGCAAATGTCGAGAAAATTATGCTGGTACACCAACCATGGGACATCAGTGCTACAAGACTGTAACCGTTGACAACAAGATGTGCTTCGATTCTAAACTAATAGGTGAGTAAAGTTTGTACATTTTTCCTTTTTTTGAATTCTCACAAAAATTGTTCTTCTCAAACTGCACCTTGCTATTATGTCCGGAGGATCTTATGGTTAGTACAATGAATGAAATCACCAAGAGTTCTTTAGATGTTTTGCAAAAATTCTTCGACGTTGCTATGCTGTAATTTAATTTTTTTTATTTTCAGATGAGTGCAAGATGAAACCGAAGCCACTGAATCCTGGACAAACGGTCTTCTACATGGTACAACCAAGGTTTATGAATGTGGACATCAGAGTAATGGTGGATGTCACTCAAGGTGCCCTAGATCTGTTCCTCAGTCCACGAGATGATTCTTTTGTAGTAAATCTCAACTCATCCACTGGATACCAAGAGGTATGTGAGACCTTTGACAATAGCAAAAGATATAGTATCAACAATATATACTTGCAGGTCGAGTTAGATTCACGTTTCAAATGGCGTCGAGATCCTCATGACAGTTGGCAAGAAAATCATCCTCGAGATAAAACCAAGATTGTTCAATTCCATCCACATGATACGTTTTACAATTCTCCAAACGGTACAACTACTGAACCAAACTGGAATACTGGGCCCCAGTACATCGTTGTGGAGCGGTACGCAGAGGGTCTGGCAACATTTGTAACTATCGAACAAAGAAATACGTTCCTGGTGTTACGTAATCTGACAAATCGTCTAGTGCTAACTCTACCGCAAGATAAGCATGAACTCGGTCAGACAAAGTTCCACATAGCTTTAAGAGCTATTGACACTCCGAATCCTGAGGAGAATGGTCGAGCAGCCTACGGGATGATCTTCTTCAGGCAAGATCAACTCCACATCGACCTCTTCGTCTTCTTCTCAGTATTCTTCTCTTGCTTTTTCCTCTTCCTGGCAGCCTGCGTCGTCGCTTGGAAGACCAAACAAGCCGCGGATGTACGTCGCGCTAGAAGAAGACACGTCGTAGAGATGCTTCACATGGCTAAGCGTCCTTTCGCCTCGGCGACGATTCTCTATGACCGCGACGGCAACGACTGCAGCCCCAGCTCACCTCAGCGCAAAGGACGTCGTAACAAACTTATCAATTTCCACAACGACGTCAGACCCGTCGCCGTGGAACCTACGGATGATGGTGTTGCAGCTGTCGCGACAGTCTTCATTAGACTTCCTGGTGGAAGGCAAGCTCCAGTTAAATTGGCTCTTGGCAGCTCGTTGATACTCTTAACCAGGGTATATCCGGTGAACAGTAGAGTCTTTCTAAGACGTCGAAACAGCCATGCACCTAACTGACTTAGGATAGTTTAAATTGAAAAAAAGCGTCTCGATGATTCGGTAGCTGAAAAATCTTTACATCTCTTTTGTTCCGTTTTTTTTCTTTGTACAATCCTAACAATTTTTATATGGGTTTGCCCAGGTGCGTGGGCTAGATTGTAAGTATTGCAGGTAATTTTATATAATTTTAAAATTTACAGATTTTATTGGTGTTTTTTTATATATCATTATGAATTGTATATATAATATGGTTATATTATTTGAAAAGCATCACAAGGGAGTTCGAGTATGCCTCTAACTTTGGCAAACTAGAGTCTAAAGCCTGTATTCAGAACTCGCTTTTAGTGCTAATAGCGCGCTTTTACATTTTTTCTTGGTGACTTTTAACTACGAGCGACTCTATTAGCGACTTTAAGAGCGAGTTGCGAATACGGGCTTTAGGCGTTACTCCAATATAATTACGGGTCACAATTTTCAAAATGAAACGCAAAAATGCCTTTAGGCGTAAATTTTTTGTTTTATCTCTTCATTCCATTATCAACATTTATTTCCCAAAGTTCTCTTTGGTTTTCTTGTTGGGCCGTTTCGCGTCGATTACAACTTCAATATTTCATCCTGAACATCGATCAATAATTGTTTTTAATGAAAAGGAACAAAAAGAGAAAAAATAAAAAGACGTCCCTCTTAAGCTAAATCAACTACTGTACAATAGTCTGTAATGGGTTAAGCGATCGGAGTAACCTTTTAGAATATAGGTAATAATATATTGTCATACCATTCCGCGAGGAGACTGTACGTTTTGTATATAACAATCTGTAATTATGTATTAATCAAGCGTGTCATAGCGCCCTTTTATAGAAGTGTTATACAAGACGAGTTGCGAGCCGTGGTTTTTAGATGAGGTCAAGCGATACGAATAATCAGGATGACAATGATTCGAAAGACGGGTAATATATATCCAAAAAAAAAAAGAAAATGATTGTAATCCGCGCAAGGTGCTCACTTCTTGCCGCAATCTGGAAAAAACAGGGTCACCCCGCATTAAAAATATCGGATACCGAGTAGAAAATCGGTAATCCTAGCGCGCGTCGCTAAACGATCCTGGCCAATCCAACCGAACAGTATTAGACAGCTTGAACTTCTTAGAGTCTGAATTAATTGAGAATTTGTAAGATGTAAAATTTTATCAGACGTTCTCCACTCGTATTATTTTCCATGAACAGAAACAGATAAAGACTCACGGAACATCCAACCCGGTAAAGCGGAAAGGAAAATGATATTCTAGATAGGAAAGAGTCTATCGATTTACGGCTAAACTGCGAGTTCGTTACCACGTAATAATCAAAACGTATAAATAATTATGAATATTAACGTAACGATGTCGACGTGATTAACTTTTAAGAGACTCGAGATGAATTGAGATCCTGAAAATCTCTTTTCTCTTTAGATTTGGGTGGATTTAGGAAATCAGTGTATATAATAGGCAGCGTCTTTGCAATACTGTATTCGGCCGACTGCGAAGATGATGTATTTTTTATTTTACAAGTGTCGAAGGAGTATTGTTAATTAACTATTATCTTTTTCGCTACTGTGTTATGTAGTATTTTCAAACTATTATTTCTTTATTTTAATAATCTCTCTGTTCGTTCGTTGGTTCAGCGTTTTAGCTCCATTCCTAATACTCATATAAGTTAAGACTATTCGACGCCTTTTTAAGCAAAGTTCGGACGTTATACGTAATATAATTATACAGGATATACAGATATATGAAATAGGTTTTTTCTTATATACACGGTTATATATGTATGTACACACAGTTATCTGTCTCTCTCGATCGTTTTCTTTTTTGTTCATTGTACAGATCTTATGTATTACTTTATAAATGTTATATTTTATATATACTTATTGTATTCGCAAATTCTTTAGAATGCGAATTCTTCCACGCAGCTCTGTAATGCATCGCGCTGAGATGTGAAGTCGAGGTGCTTAATTGTCCCTCATTGTAGGAATTTATGGTTGTGATAAAATCTATCCGATGGTTGGATACCTTGCAATTTGTTTTATCAATTATTATTATTTGTCTCTCTATATTTTATCGTAGGGAATCCAGGCATTGCGAATGTTAACACATAAGGGAGGTAATATGGTTGTATGAAATGGGATTAGTGAAATGTGTATTGAGGAAGTGTTAATAATAATTAAGTGTAAAAAATTCTTTCTGAGATTGTTTTTCAATTATTTTTCTTTGTATCCAAAAACAAATAATTTTTTTCAAGTACAAGACTTTAATACTATATTAATATACTATATTGCTTATTAAAGGAATTTTGGAGTAATAGAAATTATACATATGTTCTAGCCATAGTGGCCATAGTCAATTACAGTCACATGATATCTGGTTGCATTTGGCATGTGCACAACAATCGACAGAAGTTAATATTGATCAGAACAACGTTGACTGCTTTATTATTAATTATTTATTATTAATTTGATATTATTAATAAAAACAATATGGCCAAGAAACGTAGAGGTATGAATTATTTGAGTCTGCATATTGAATTTATTGGAAATTACTGTTTATAGTCTTTAACCTAAATTTATCAAGCAGCATAAGACATATAACATAATATTTCAGATATAACTGGCAGTAAGGAGGAACGTATGGTGATGACTATAGGTGAGATTATTCAGGAACTACTTATTGCCCACGAGGAACGAAGAGATGTGGATTTAAATAAGTTGAAGGCACGCATATCTTCGAAGTACGGATTAGAATCTTCACCAAGACTTGTGGATATCATAGCAGCAGTTCCAGCTGATGCTAGGAAGATTCTTGTTCCAAAACTTAAAGCTAAGCCTATTAGGACTGCTAGTGGTGTAAGTGATCCTCTTCAACGTAAAAATTTAATCAGTACTATGGATATTGACATACAAATTCATAATCCCATAGATTGCCGTAGTGGCCGTCATGTGCAAGCCTCACAGATGTCCTCACATTAATATGACAGGAAATATCTGTGTCTACTGCCCAGGTGGGCCAGATTCAGATTTTGAATATTCTACCCAGTCTTACACTGGCTATGAGCCTACATCCATGAGAGCAATCAGGGCTCGCTACAATCCCTTCTTACAAACAAGACATCGCGTAGAACAGGTAAGAATAACTGAAACATACTACGTTTTACTAAACTAAATCGCTTATAGACGCATTTCTCATTTTCCAGCTGAAACAACTTGGTCATAGTGTCGACAAAGTCGAGTTCATTGTCATGGGTGGAACTTTCATGTCACTTCCTGAAGATTACAGGGATTATTTTATTAGGAATCTCCACGACGCCCTTTCTGGACATGTAAGCAATAATGTCGATGAAGCTGTCAAATACTCTGAACGCAGTAGAACCAAATGTATTGGAATTACCATCGAAACAAGACCAGATTACTGTCTAAAGAAGCATCTGTCAGATATGCTCCGCTATGGGTAAGTACAATAATAAATTTTAACTAGCCAATGTCTGTTTGATACAATAAATATTTGGCCATCAGTTGTACCAGATTAGAAATTGGAGTTCAGTCGGTGTACGAGGATGTGGCTCGCGACACCAATCGCGGTCACACAGTGCGTGCTGTATGTGAAAGTTTCCAGCTGTCTAAAGATGCAGGTTTTAAAGTTATCGCACACATGATGCCAGATCTACCAAACGTGGACATTGAGCGTGATGTTGAACAATTTGTTGTATGTAATTTTCACCTGCAGATATCCATAAATTTGCTTCTCGAAGATCCTAATCTATATTTTTACTATCCAGGAGTTTTTTGAGAATCCAGCTTTTAGAGCAGATGGTCTCAAGATCTATCCAACCTTAGTTATCCGTGGTACAGGCTTATATGAATTATGGAAGACAGGTAGATACAAGAGTTACCCTCCCAGCACTCTCGTGGATTTAATTGCTAGAATCCTAGCACTAATTCCACCCTGGACCAGGGTCTATCGTGTACAACGAGACATTCCCATGCCTCTCGTCAGGTAAATCTTTTAATTATTATTGTTAGCCAAGATGCAAACAATATATTTCATTGATCTGAATTCTAAAACAGTTCCGGTGTTGAGCATGGGAATTTGAGGGAGTTAGCCCTCGCTAGGATGAAGGACCTGGGTACAGATTGCCGGGACGTCAGGACCCGCGAAGTTGGGATTCAAGAAATACATCATAAAGTCCAACCGTATGAGGTAGAACTGATCCGTCGTGATTATGTAGCCAATAATGGTTGGGAGACATTTTTGTCTTACGAAGATCCTACTCAGGATATATTAGTAGGCTTACTACGTCTGAGAAAGTGTTCTGAGCAGACTTTCAGGTAAGAAATCTCAATGCATATATGAAATATCAATTGCCAGGAATGCCCAGCTAACCTAGTCATGTTCTTTAGGTCTGAACTTAAGGACAGATGCTCCATAGTACGTGAATTACACGTATACGGTAGTGTCGTTCCCATTAACGCACGAGATCCAACAAAATTCCAGCACCAAGGTTTCGGCATGCTCCTTATGGAGGAAGCTGAACGAATTGCCAGGGAGGAACACAATTCACGAAAACTTGCTGTCATCTCAGGTACTTCCCTTTATTCTGATCTATTTTCTTAAGGTAAAATATCAACTCAATAATGTCATTTTATCTTCAGGAGTCGGTACACGCAATTATTATAGGAAGATGGGGTACGAATTAGATGGTCCTTATATGTCAAAGATTCTCGTGAATGAAGATTTGGAGTAGTATATTAAGAGGTTCTTGTAAATATTTAAAGGTGTGTATTTTATTTGTTTTTGTTCACTCATATAATCGCCTGTCCAGAACCGAACGATAAATAAATGACACAGCCCAGTATATCTATCATAGATGTTACTACGAAAACTACTGGCCAACTGTGTGTTACGTGTAAAATATAACCTGCTAGGTATACACCGAGAAAACCTGAAAACCAGAATAGCATAGATAATTGGTATTGTTTTATAAAGGATATAAAGCATATTCAAATAATACTAACCGGGTATGGCACCGACAGTATTCATCAATCCAAAGACGCTACCAGCATGTTTCGGAGCAAGATCTGATGGATTGACAGCTATAGCATTATTATGAAATCCTGAACCACCGATGATCAGTGCCAAACACAGAATGGCACCCTGATAAGTTTGTACTCTGGCTACAAACGAGAATTGTCATTTACTTCCATGAGACATCATCAGCATTCTTGTACGTACCTAGTATAAGAAGATTGATGGATTGGGTGACGAAACAAATAGTTTCTATGATTTTTCTGGTACTGGTAATAGAGTATCCCGATTTTACTAGTTTTTCAGAAAGAGCTTTTCCAAGGAATGTACAGGGTAGTAAAGTCAGCCACGGTACCATGTTAACTAGCCAACCTTTGATTTCAGGGAAGGTCTCATGAAAGTATGTTGGCATCCATGAGAGTAGAACAAAGAAACAATTATTCTGACAGGCGTGACCGATCACACATGACCTGGGAACATAGTACAAGTATAAAATAGTATTTTGCTCTGAATTTATGAATTTTAATAGCTTTATGATAGGTTCGTGAGCGATTGAGTGTGTAATAAAACTTGTGAGAGAAAGGAAGAATGATTGTAATGTATGTCCGAAGGCCTTGGTGCGATAAGAGATGTATGTACCGTGATTACCAGAATGGAGGCTTGGAAAGGAGCGCAAGCCAGGGCAAGGTGTGTCCAGCGATTGGTCTGTTAAAACTTGCTCGTCCATCAAGTGAAAGAGAATAGTAGCTTAGTAAGGCAGTCCATACCAAACCCAAACCCCCTGCACAACGTGAGGTCAAACAAAAAAGCTCGTTAGACGTCTACTGTTAGTTAGAATTTTAGTTCATGTTAGAAATTTATTAGTAAGTGTTACTTATCAAATTGTAAGCAAATATAGATCACCTAATACTTGGAATACAATAGTCCAGCTATAACTTTCCAAGAGATACGACCCTAGAGAACCAGTGAGCAGTGTTCCTAGGGCAGAGCCAGATGTCAATAGGCTAAAAAAGGAGGCACGATCTGGCTCATGGAGTCTTTGACTCGTCAAACTAATCATGCTAGGAAAATGCATCCCTGGAACAACGAGTGTCTGTAATTATATTGTTAGTTTGTACACCAAGTTATGTTATATTATTACCTTGGAAAGCACCATTCAATGTTCGCACAGCAGCAATCAATGATATAGAGGAATCGCTCTCAGATAAAAACATTACTATCTCAGGCATAAAGAATGTAGAAAGTGACCATCCTAAGGCAGCAATCCACATGACTTTCTGGCCACCAATTCGATCACTGATATAACCACTAGCCACCTGGGTCAGTGTGTAGCCCCAGAAGAAGCTGGAGAGAACAGTTCCAGATTCTGCTTTACTCCATTGTCTTTCTTTACTGATCACTGGCATTAGTAATGGCACCGATGTCCTTGTCGCATAAACCAAACATGTACCGCACAATAGAGATAGAAACCATTTCCTCCTCTCCTTTCTAAAATGATATTATTCATATACATCCCAAAACATTTTCATACTTTGAAATCAGATAAATCATTGCCCTAGCAACAAAGAGCAAATATATACATAGACTAATGAATAAATATTTTTATTCACAAATAATACAATATTTACCTTGACCAAAATAAAGTTATTCTTTCATCTTTTGATAGTAATATAGGAGTTTCTATCTGCATTGTTCACGAACGTTTTCGCCAACTTGCAGAAGAACGTTTTATAATTAGTTCCGGACATTCGTCCAAGCTACGTTAACTGTAATATGTGGCTATCTCCGTATCACTCCGTATGCAATCACTGCTCCGAGACACGTATTCTAAGAGATAACAAAACATGACACACTATTAAACTACGTCCCACTCAATGATGGAATTCCTATGATTTCATTTTTCGGATCTAGTTTCCTATCTCGCTCTTCTTGCCTCATGAATCAACCAATTATTCTAAAAGTGGACAAACTACTCCAATCTTACAAATGACAGATGACACAATTGTCAATAAGTACAAGAAATTTGTTTACATTCCAAGCATAAGTATAATTAAAAATACATATAAAATAACGCAATATCAATCCAAGGAAAGATATTACGTGATAACTTGGCGTTATAAAAAGGAACTATCCAATTAATTAATATTGTAGTAATTAGGTATTAAACTTATTGTTTCATTTACTTATAACCATAGCAATCGGTGATGTGAAAATTGTACTGTGTAACGAGGGACGAAAAAGTTAAAGAAATGTCACGAAATTAGTGAGATTCAAATGAGAGCGGAGTTTGAGAACCCACCCATAGGTATCGTTAATCTATTCGGAGGGATTGTTGTCGCTTTCATGAAAACGAATTACAGAGCAGACCCGATATCTCGCTTCAGGACAGCACTCGTACTCGTCGAAATAATATTTCAGAGCGTGTGAAAGAGCCGATCGGTCGGGCGAGAGACTGGAACGTGATAAAGGATAAAATCGCGTGGTTCTCTCGCGCGCATCCGAAGATCATTAGTGTCTCGTTAAAGAGAAGAAGAAAATTGTGAGAATCTTGTGAAAACCTCTTCGGCTGGGTCGCGCCTGCCTGCTTGCCTGCTTGGCTGCCTGGCTGGCTGCCGCCACCGCCACTACCACCATCTGACCATTATCGCCGTGTTCGCCACTAGCACTACTACCAGCGAGCCTGAATATTCTCACTTTCGTGTAATCTCAGCTACTATCGGATTCATCTTCCTGCGGTTCGGTTCTACTCTTTTCTTTGATCGTACCGACTACTCGCGTCTCTCATATGATCCTTTCCAATTGGCGATTTCGATCGTTTGCCCGGCTCTCGATCGATCCTCATCGTCAGTAGAGGAAAAACTTGAAGAACTAGAGGAAGACGAAGCGGAAGAAGAAACAGTCGGAGAAAAATCAACTACGGGGAGCAGTTGATTTTCTCACCTTGAGTTTGGTCGTTTCTTGAGCAACAAAGCTCTGTCCGCATCGGCGCTTTTTTCGCCCCAAGTGGTATCAATGTTGTCTGGCAATGGTGTGTAAGGAGAACGTGGTATCATGGTTTGGGAATCTGTCCAGGTATTTATCCTATTTGTTCTCCGACCAATTCTCGCTTCTCCCATAAATCATGTGCAAACTCCTTTTTTTTTTTAAATACTAATTTAAGTGTTTCTATAGAGATTTTTATTTTGGTTCTCTGTTTCATGGTCTCTGAACACTCCTTTGTGTTGTACAAAATATCACTTGGTTTTCAGACTCATATTTTGGTTGATAATAATATCTGAAGTTTATGCCAGAGATAGTTTTATTTTTGTCAGCTCTATATGGCTGCTAGAAACCTCTGACCCTTTTTTTATAACCCTCCTGCATGGAATTTACAGGAAGATGAAATTTTCTCAAATTCATTTAGTGTTTTATTATTATAGAATATAATAAGTTTGATTTGTTTTTTTGCAGTTATAAACGTATAGACATAATGTGCACACTGTTAAACATGTGTTTGCCGTTTGAAGTAAGGTATCTGGGCACTTGTGTGGAGGACCTTGGTAAAAGGGACTACAATGACTTGCGTGATACTGAACATCGTGCAAACAATGTATCAGATCTTGCAGAGCTGACAAATCTGGGTGTGACAGACAAGCGCACCCGGAGGAAACTTGCACTCTATATGGCACTGTTGCACTCGTGCAACTATTCATGTGCCGTTATTCTCTACAAGAATCTATCCAACGTTGACTTCCAAGAGATTGTCAATTTATTGAATGGGACCACCTTTACGCAGGATGACCAACCTCTAGAGGAACTCTTGCTGCTTTATACAATGGCACTCAATCACCCAGCCTTTACGTATGAGCAGAAATCTGTATTTGGAAATATTTATGTAAGACTACAGGAAGAAGAAGCGCGGCTTAATCCACCAAAACCAATAGTCAATTCTTCCTATAAAAACGCACAAGTAATAAAGATACTTGAATTCAAATTTTAAATTTATCTTTCACAAAATAATTAACAAGGTAGTTAACGACTGATTAATTTTCAAGGGTTGTACACCATGTGTCACGCCTAACGACCGGACCATTGATTCTGAAATCCCAGCAAATTGTTTGATGCCGCCACCACAAATGCCGAATTACCATGGTATGTTGAACTGAAAAGAAAACCAAATTTTTACATCAATCCTACAGTAACGATTCTATCAAAAAGTGTACGAAACTCCAGGAGAGATGCCAATGCGAACTAACACTATGGTCAGCGGTGTACCTCCGGGATTGACGATGCAGCCGCCACCAGGATTGTGTTTACCATCGCCAGAACAACTGCCTGTAGGATCAGGCACAGCACCTTACTTTACCCTGGGATTTCCGTCCGTGAATCATATGCCACCCTGGGCAGGTCAGGTCATGATGGGCAATCAAGCAATGTACCACATTGGTGATGTGTTGGCTCATCCTCCTTCCCCATTAGTTAGTCGCCAGTCCTCACCATCCCAATCACGATCCCCTAGCCGAAGCAACTCACCGATGGGTCGACGTAACAACACGATGCCCAGGACCACCTCCCAGATTACACAATCGGACTCGAACACCCTTACCACTTCCACGAGTAGTTCGGGAAGCCAAACGAGCATGACGAGCTCCTCGAATAACACTTCCTTGCAGCAACTTCCTAGCCTGGCTTCTGGTCGAAATCATTCAAATCAGCAAGCCCCTCTGCTCCCTTCACGGACCGTCCCTCCACCAGCTATCGGTAGCAGCACGTCATCCTCCCACGTTACTCACTCTCGTGACAACAGTATCGACAACGCCGCTAGCCCACCAGCTAATGCATCGAACCTTAAGCAGCAACAGCCACCACCTCCACCCCGATTGAGGTCATCCACGTCTGCCGATTCACTACGGGAAACCCTTGGCAAGGAAATGCCAAACTTCAAGGGCAACTTACAGAACTATTCGCTAGAGGAGGTATGTAATCAAACCCAATCATAGAGCGTTAGGAACTTTGTCGAATTTGCTCGGTGTCCGTCCGATCGACCAACTCAGGAAGAGAACGTTGGCCAGTGCGCAGTTTAGAAAAAAAAGTGCAAAAATAAAAAAAAAAGTATATATAAAAGGCACATCCTATCACACCGTCCTAGAGTCTCCTTTAGCGGTTTCCAAAGGTTCCTCCTCATGATTTGCTGAACGTAGATTAGGAGAATGAGCGACGAGGAGCTGAGGGACTTGGGCCTGACGTCGAATGCGGTGGGTCAACTCCGAAGCATCGTCAAGAGCCAAACCGTCAACGGTTTGAACCAACTCGCGCCGGACAAGAAGTTGGAGAGTACCAATAACGCGACTCACCCGGTTGTAGACCATGTCGAGAACGAGGTATTGCTTTAACATTTGTTTCGGCGGCTTGAACCTAACGAATCCGCGTGCTCTAGATACCGACGAAGCCACGATACCGGTTACCACCTACCCTAGTGTAGCCCGTCGCCCTGTCGACGATGACAAAGAGATACTTTATTTAGTTTTCTTTATGCTTATTAAATTCTGGATAACGTTTCTTTCCATCCTATTTCAGGAGCAGCAGCCGTTTGTCCACCATCATCACAATCACAATACCAACGTCAGGCGTTATCCGACCATCCCTCCGATGGAACCTTCTCAGATGCAGATGTATCCTGCACCGCCTCCCGTTTATGCTGCGCATAACACACCCTGTTACGCATGTTTAACCATGTCGGTTCCTGGAGTACAAAACCGGTATCCAAGGTGAGTGGAAACGTAGTGCGTAGAAAAAGGTGTAGAAGGAGCTTAGATTTTCAGACGGTGTTCATATTGTCATTTTCATAACTCGTTTCAGATGTAACGCGCCGCACGTTTACTGCGTCACGCAACTTCAAGCGCTGAGACTGGACGCGGAGGGTAGTCGACATTGTTCTCAGAGCAGTAGCTCGGAAAGTACAGGAAGTCGATCACCGCCAGAGACGCCACCAGCAATGCCCTGGGTTGGTGGAGGCGCTGGAGATAGTTCAGTACCACCTCCGACGGATCACCTGGGTGCAGGAACGCCGTTGCATTCGACGGTAACATCAGTATCACATCCACCACCGTCTGTTCCTCAACAAATGCAACAGCAACAACAGCAGCAACAGCAACAGCCGCATCCAGAGAGACAACGAACTAGTAGAAGGAATCCCGCGCATGTGGTGCGCCAAAAAAATCAAATGGTTAATGGCGGAGGACCACCGAGTCTCGCACATTGCGTATCTTTCTCGGCGCCGCCTAACCACACCCCAGTGACGTACCTTCCCCACGGGCACTTCCAGGCCCTGAGACCAAGTACCGGACTCTATTCGAACTTCTCCCACGCCGCAGCCGCTGCGACAGCAGCGTACGCGAGGCCCGGTTACCCAACGTCGTATCAGCCAAACGGGGAGATAATGTTTCAATATCCAACCGGTCAACCTGGCTCAGGAGGGACGCCACCACCGCCTCCTACGGCCGCAGCACCCGCACAGACGTACCTTCCACCAGCACCGGTGGTCACCTACTCCCCAGCCGTCCAGTCAGCCAAGATCTCCTGCTACAATTGCGGCAGCAGCAGTCACCACGCGAGCGACTGCAAGGATCAGACAATGGAGGACCTCACAAAGAGAGGTACGTCTCAAGCGTCTCGCAATCAGTAGCCTAAGTCTAGTGCCGGCGGAGGTCGCACGTCGACGTCCTCTTACCTCACGGTAGACGGGAGGAACCTGGGGAAGCGTGCTGGACGCCGGAGGACACGCGGGACCTGCTTTAACTTCATCACGTAGACAGAGAGGAGCAAATGCAAAAAAAAACAAACGAAGCCAATTATGGATCTCAATAACGTTTAGCCCTCATCGCGCATTCGCATCCTCTATTCTGGGACTTGCTACTGATTTAACATCGCGTCGCGACACTGCTGCTCCTCGCTCAACCATCATCGCCATCCTCGACGATGTTCCCGGGTCTTCTCCGCGACTATATTATCGTCCAGCACCCTTTCCCTTACCACGGGTCATTCACAGACAGCACGCACCGCTTCTAATTTCAGCTCAATACCGACTAGACTACACGATAATGAAACAGCCTGGGGAGTGCCCGAGTTCCGACAAGTGATCCCCTGCCATGGACCACCCCATTATCCATCAATACCATCATCTTCATTATCATCACCACCACCAACACCATCATCAGAACCACAGTCATCACCATCACTACCATGATCATCGTCATCATCATCGTCACAATCGTAACTACTATCGTCGATACTCTGACTCTCATTATTATCATCCTCCTCACCAACGTCATCAGCAGCATTACCTTACCACTATCACACCTCCAATCATTAAAGCCGCCACTATCACGACTACTCAGCCCAAGATCCGATCAAAAGACGACGACTACCGTTCCTCGTGCAAGTTTTCGGTGATTTTTCTAGACGTCATCCACGTGCCCCGTATACGGCGTGATGACTTTTTTAAGGAAGACGCTGTCTCAAAGCTCGCGGTATCGAAATGTACACTTTTTACAAGTTCTTATTTATGATAGCGACTATTATTATTAATATTACATATTATTGTTTACTATTATTAATATTATTATTAATTATTATCGATATAATTATAAAGAAGCTACAACACAACAAATTGTGTATATATATATATATGTATATGTATATATACATACATATATATTATACGGTGTAGTGTACAAAGCAAAAACGGCGTGTAACGATCATTCTTATATATCTGCGTGTATGATCTTGTTTTTTTAGGGATGCGTTTAAGGGAGATTTCGAGAGAGATTTGCGTTTAGGTATTTTGGCTTCGTCTTTTTTCGTAAACAATAAAATAAAAGATACGATACCTAATGGCTACTAAACGTGCACACACAGCGAGATACACACACTGAATCATCTCCGTTCATCTAGCAAAAATCATCCCGGAATTGCTAAGGGGGAAAAAAACAAATAGTATTGAGGAAAACGCGACAACAACAGAACAATAACGATGACCGAGAAACAATTAGTTGTGTCTCGGTTACATAATGATAATCGTGTTTTTAATGACTATACTTAATACGATACTACTGCTAGTACTACGACTACTACTGCTGCTACTACTATTACTACCAACTATCACTACCATTATCTGCTATTGCTATTACGACTACTATCACCATCTGCTATTTACTATTGCTACTTACTCACTTACTACTATTACTATTTACTATTATTACCAACTAGTTAAAAGGAAAAGAAAAGAAAAAAAGGAATTACTACCGCTAAATACCGCGCGCCACGTTTATCAACGTTTTTATGTACATATATTTTTCGAACTTTGCGTGTGCGAGAAAAAGTAAAAATGATTAAAAAAAGAGAAGAAGAAAAGAATGAAAAAAAAAAGATACATGAAAACCATAAGTGTTCGATCGTCTCTAGAAGCCGTTGCGCTCCTGTGTGTGTGTGTGTGTTGTAAAAGTGAAAAACCGACAAAAAAAATATATCTATATAAGTAATAAAGAGTAACGTACAGAACACGTGGCGGGAGGACGGAGAGCAGAAAAAATGAAAAGAAAAGTCAAAACTTAATGAATCGTTAACCTACGATTTATTGCCAAGCCGCTAAATGTCGCTCGCACGAGAATGGATTATGTGAAAGACATAGTGTAAAGGATGCACGTGATTAACGGGGCGAATGAAGCTGCTCTGTGGTAGATGCGAAAGTGATGGATCAAAGTGAAGCGGTTGATAATTTTTCTTGTCAATAGTTTAT